AAGGTTGGGAAACACTGGACTAGACTATATGTATCGATTCCCAGATGCGTCCATTAGCTGTGTTCATGAGAATTGTCTAAGTTTCCTTTTATGAAAATGATTTCCCAGTCTTAAGACGAATTTTCTGCATCTTTCTGCAAATCCATTAGTTATTTTTACGTGGCTGCTGGAGGCTCTTGATCTTATTTATTTTTAAAACAAGAAACGCAACAAATTTGAGGAAGAAAGTCTTCTGATTTATGTCACTGAAAGCAGAAAATAATACGCCAAATAGCCTATATTAAAACTCTGTATGGTAAATTTCAAATAAATATAATTTAAAAGTCGGTTTATACCTCAAAGAAAACACATACCTTCTCGATTTCAAAGACTAGTCTCCTTTATTGCAATGATCTAAATTTTTGTAAGATTTGAGACTTTCACGGCGGTGACTATGAAGAAAGCAGTCTTCTGGGATTTGGCACCGTGTATATGTGGTGTTAAACGACGTTTCGGAGGAACGTATCGCCTCCATCTTCAGGGTAGAAGAAAATATATAAGAATCTGCAAGTAAAGAGACCGTGAGAACCGGTAAAATCTGCTTTTACCTTTTCTCACGGTCTCTTTGCTTGCAGATTCTTATATATTTTTCTTCTACCCTGAAGATGGAGGCGATACGTTCCTCCGAAACGTCGTTTAACACCACATATACACGGTGCCAAACCACAGAAGACTGCTTTCTTCATCTAAATTTTTGTATGGTAAAAATTTTTCACGGCGAATGAATGCACTAAAACATTCGCGGACAGTCAGCCAAAACATATTTGCGCTAAAAATCAGCGTTCCGAAGACATTCTACCTCCATCCTCAGGGTAGAACCTAATGACGAGACAGCAAATCTCCGAAAATTTGGATTTTAGCTCACCCATGACCCAGATTATCATCATAGACGATTTTAGCGTTGCGCTATTTATTCTCAGAATACAAGGAAACTCATAAATAAACTGTGGCGGAAATTCCGCCTTACTTGACATCAAAACATCTGTGATTCGTATGCCAGATTCACTGCTTTATTTTTCCTAAAACATGAACTGTTCTTACTGAATACTTCGGTGGTTTTCTTTATTTCATTAACACCTACCGGAATGTAAATGTCATGTCCTTAGCTCCCCTTTTTGAGACTTATTACCCTTATTAACCCCCTTTATGGTTTCCTGTACTCACGTAGTTGTGGCCCTTTGCATGGAAGTCGAGAGAGGTGTAGACTGCAACAAGTAGTGTTACACTGGCGAGCATACCAACAATCTAACACAGACAGGGCAAATTGTAAACAACCCACAGATATTATGTTTAAGTCATGTAAACCATCTCTTTGTCCTCAATATTTTATCAAACTAGTACAGCCTTTATCTTCATTTAACTTCAAACAGTCCTTAAATATGAAGGCTAAAACCATCTGTGGGACCAGCGGTAGCCAGGGCCTGAGATAAATGAATATAGAACATGATGGAATTAAATCTAGTTATTCTCAGATAAACTTATCTCACTGCTTTGTTTGTGGGTAGCATATATAAGCCTTAATGTATGGAGGGAATGGCAGCAGGTCATTCCACTGAAATGGTACCTACCTACCAAGTTACTTGGGTCCTAACCCAAAATATCATGATGTATGTCACAAATTATTTTAAAATATCCTGGCATTTTCATGAAGAAAATGAGAAAACCACAAGAACAACTGCTCCACCAATCACAATGCAGAGGTGCTAACCAGTACAATCTGGCATTTGGTAGTTATGTCACAAGTGCCCAACAAAATACATTAATCTCACAATCCCATCAAGACGACACAAACACACCTAGTATTCACTTATACCTCACATTACAGCAGCAGTTTACAAACTACTCACATTTTCACCCCAAGTCAAACAATACAGAATGTACATAACTGGCATTGTATAAATCTGTCAAATGGAGACATTAAGACAAATATACAAATAACAACACTATATAGTGTTCCAAAGAACACAGGGGTCCCCAAAGCTTCCTAACAAACATATAAGCAACTTTAACTTCTTTTCTAAGAAAAGTTACTAGTGAGTTGCAAATGCTTTCCAGAACACTTTGGTTGTATATACATATAATTATACTTAATAAAATACAAGAACAACATATTAACTTTTGATAAAACAAAAAAAAAAATTGTGACAGCAACAAAAAGTATAATTTCAGTATACAATACAATACATACAATAGTACGTGAAGCAGAGTAATTTCCTTCCTTTAGCTCCCCCAAAAGTAAATGTTAAAAACAACTACCATAGTATGTAATAAGTACATAATTTGACTTGTCAAAACTGAAGCTTGGAACTTGAAGGAATTCTGTCAGTATGATGAATTACTACTGCCACAAATACTCTCAGATAGAGAAGCTCAGCTGATGGTACATATTTTATTTCATGATCCCTAACAGCCCATTAGATTAGGATCTCAACATCCTGGTGGGCAGCATACAGGTCCATTTTGACCAATCCACTGTTTAGGATGGGACATCTTCAACAACCAGAAACCATCCTACTGTACAGGACTTGGACACCACCATGAATGAACCAACTGTAGAGCATGACCACAATATGTACATCTTTAATTAATATCTGTGGGGGCATTTGAAATATGGCATTTACTGTAACCAAATTTTCATACCCAAGAGAAGCTGTGACAGCAGATAATTCACCTTACTACCATATTTATGAAGTTCATAACTTTGCTACTGAAGCATGACCTTTGTCTTGAGAAGCAAAATTATTTCACATGCAATGACTGTTATGTTTAAGTCACATCTGAGTGGTGGGATACAAATGGAAATGGAAATTACTTCTTGTTGCTATCATAAGTGGAGAGTATTTTGTTTCATCAAAAGTTAATTCATTATTTTGTTCTTTATTAAGTGCAGTGATGCTCATCTGCTTTCATTACTGGCAAAAAATTAAAATATTTTGTATCTCTGTAAGGAAGTCAGAAATCCCATGCTCATAGCAACTAGTTTTCTTATTTACAGTCATAAAATTCATGGCGTGAAGCTCTGCATTGTTACATGGGAGTCGACTTTATCTGAAATTCTCAAAGAATATGTTTTATTCTGGCCACTGATTCAGTCTATCAATACAATGGTTCAAACATGAGAATCAAGGCTATATATGAAAAGTTCAGGATATATAAGAGCCACGATAGCATAGTCAGAATACAGACTGGCTAAGGGCTGGAGGACCAAACGGTCAGAGTTCGAGTCACTTCTCCATATCATCCAGACCACCTCTGGGGTCCACCTAATCTCCTATCTAATGGGTACCAGGGGGGGGGGGTAAAGCGCCAGGGGCATGAAGCTGACCACTCACCTCCAGCTAGTGCCGAGGTCAAGAAAATGTGAATCTACACGGTGTGTCCAGGATCCGTTAGGACTAATTTTTTTTTTAATTTTGCCCTGCAATGCCATCTGTCGGCGAGCTGTAGCGTTAAGATTCTCGAGCTTTCAGCTGTGGCTGTCTATAATTTCAAAACGAAAGCATCACTGCATCATATGTTCTGACCTTGAATGTAACAGTACTGTTCTGACGCTCGTCAGAAAATGGCGGTTGAACAGAGAGCCAACATCAAATTTTGTTTGAAGTTAGGCAAAACAGCTGGAGAAGCGTTCAAATTGATTAAAAGTGTGTATGGTAGTGATTGAGTTGTTCGAACATTTTTCGATGGTATGCTGTATTTTGTGACAGCAGGGAGGACACTGAAGACGCTCCATGTGCATCAAAGCCGAGAACAAGTCGCACTGAAGAAAATGTGAAAAAAGTGACCAAAATCCTTGCATCAGACAGATGTGTTTCTGCAAGACTCATCGAGGAGCTTTTGGGAATACCAAAAAGTACTGTGCATCAAATTTTGACCAAGGATTTGTGCAAACGGGAGGTCTGTGCATGGTTTGTACCCCACACTTTCAGGCAATGAAAAACATGCCAGAATGGAACACTGCAAAGACATGTTACGGTCGGCCCAAAGTGATAGAAAATTTACAAAATCGATTGTTACTGGTGACGAGACGTGGTGTTTTCAATATGAGCCTCTCACAAAGTGGCAGAGTGCAGCGTGGCTGAGCCCAAAGAAGCCGAAACCAAAGAAAGTGCGCATGCAAACGAGTCGAGAAAAGACACTGCTAACCGTTTTCTTCAATTCCAAAGGAATCATTCACAAGCAATATCTGCCAGAAGGTCAAACAGGGAATTCTGATTATCATCTTGGAGTCCTCAATCGCTTGTGTGCGAGAATTCTTCAAATTCGACCTGAATATCGAGAGCAAGGTTCCTGATCGCTCCTCCATGACAATGCCCCACCCCACAAATCAAAGATCATGCACGATTTTTTGGCCAAAAAAGGGATCACAGTCCTTGATCATACTCTGTATTCGCCAGATTTCGCTCCAGCAGATTTCTGGTTGTTCCCAAAAGTTAAGTTGGCGATGAAAGGAGACCATCACGACACCATCCAGAACATCCCAAGGGAATCTACCACAGTTTTAAATGTGATTCCACAAAAGGAGTACAGTGATTGTTTTCGGAAACTTTTCAATCGATTCCAGCTATGTACTGATTCAGAAGGAGACTACTTTGAATAAAAAGAGTGAAAATTTTGAAAATAATTCACGTCTTGTATTTGTAATGAACACAGTCCTAACAGAACCTGGACACACCGTGTATACATTCACTCCCACATATGCCTTCATGGAATAGTGCTTAATTTGTTGCATACAGGGACAACTTTACCTTATCTATGTATATATAAGAACGGATATTTGGATCTGAAAAAGAAAGCAAAATAGGAGCCAATATTAATAAATCAAACAATGCAATGAAAAAATCCAAACATGCACACAAAGGTTTGTGTGGAAAATTCCATTACAGAACATTTGGGAGGACTATGATTGGGTGGAAGGATAACACAAAAACAGATCTACAGAGAAAAAGGTTCTGGAGTAATGATCTAAAGTAGTAACTCTCACTACAGGATCCAACAACAAGTTTCTATAATGAACTATTTAGTTACAAAAATGCAGAGAATATCTTGATCAGCTCTATAACAATTAAAGTTTTTTTTTCTAGTTGTATTTATGGAAATTGATTTTTACTTGAATAATATCGTGTATGAAGTCATTAATTAACGTGGTTGTCACACTAACAGAGACTTTAAAGAAATGGGTTAACACAAAAATCATGATAGAAATATGTGGATTTTAGAATTGCGGTTCTCACAGCATTAACAAAAAGAATGCTATGTTGTATCAAACTACACGGCATCATGCCAGAAGACAGTACTCTACAAGTGGATTTTACGTTTGCATTGACATACGGAAATAAAACTGTGATTCGATCTTTGCTATTAATTTTAGCGACATCAGCATCAGCTCTCAACAATTTTTCTGAAATAACCTGGTGAAGTAGGTTGTGATGAGCCGAGGAAATGGTTTAATTGTTATGTATAATAATAAAAGACAATCATATTACCTATTACTTCATATTTCTCTTCAGTCACAACATGCCTATTTCATTTGTGTGGTACAGATCCATTAAAATATGGAGGTTCACTATATCACACTAATTTTCAATTAAATCTAGAAACCGACTGAACTATACTAATAGTTCAAATTTCAAAATGTTGTGAAACAAAATTAGTTTCATAATTTTACATCTCCAATGCATGAACCATATTTAACCCCTTCCACTCCAAGATTATGATTTCAGACATATAAATGTAAATTCCTGAGTCAACACATCAGATTTATATATTCAGCTGCCATCTGTTGGTATGAGTTTGAATTCCATGCCAGTACATCTTTTTTATAGGAAATTCTGTTACAACTTAGCACAGAAAATTTCAACTGATCTCAGAGTAGAAAGGGTGAAGTTTACTTATGAAAATGTATCTCTCAAACAGGTCTAAGGCTCATTCACTGTAAATATCATACACATACCACCTGATGAAACACGGGAATTCAATTGTCACAAACTTCAGCATTCTTTGTACAGACACTGAGCACATCCCAAGTTCTGGGGCATAACAAATTAATTATAAAATAGTATAAATTATTAATTACACATGACACAAAACAGTCTGTAGACCTTAAAATTCATTTTCTTCCACAACACAAACAGTTTCTAAAATACTGATCAACTAAACATTGACATCGCCTGTGTGGCCACATGCTACAATAAAGTTTGTATACAGGTATTCATTCATATATTACTGTACATACTAGGACATCTCTATGTACATAATATATTATATATAACTTTATATCATTACAGTACTAAAATTAAATTTATATTTGTCTTAACAACTATACTAAACCTTTATCCATCATTGCATAGGCTCAGATATAATTGTACTATAATTTATGGTAAAGCATTTAAGCCTGCAACTACACTTTGCAAAACAGGTTATATTCTATATTAGATATTATTATTATTTATTGTTTTGAACTGCAAAGAGTATTTAAAGACAATGTTCATACAGCTCTGAGAGCGACATCCAACAAGTGGCTGCAGCCAGATGACAGTACTGATACCACCTCTACAGCTCAATTTCTTGGCAAGGGATGTAGGAATTTAAATGCTTTTCACCTTTGTTATTTTTGCTGCTGCTGCTCAAAACAGGAATGCACAATCACTGAAAATAGTGACATGACAAGAATACTGCAACTGAAGAATAACTTCAATCAGTCCTTGCTTTGAAAACCTACAATTCAAGAACTATCCATTAATGTTAATACTTTCATAGCAAAATTGTGTAAGTTACACTACAACATGTGATGCACCTAATAAAAGAATATGAAAGAAAACTGTGCTGTGGGTACATAAGTATAAATGTGGCAGCTATAACAACAAAAGTTTTAATTCAGTAATACACACACTACTAACATTTAAAGTTTTAAGGCATCAGTTCAACACTTGTTATGCCCTTCTGTAATTGGGTGGTATGGTAATTACAGATGGCTAGTGTATGCTGCAACTAAAAGAACTGGTAAAGTCAACTTTTCTTTGTATCCCTGACTCAAACCATGCACATTAGAGGGCATACAAAGTATTATTGAAGCATACTCACCAAACAAAAGTAACATCTTACAGACCTCAACAATTAACAAAGGTCTTATGTTGATAAAAACAATCTTCTATTTCTGTAACAGTTCATACAATAATCTATTGTTTCTCATTCCCATGCCCCCCACCCCAATAAACTGCCAGTAATCACCACAATTTTAAAACGTTCATTCTCATTTGATGGTTTACCAATAAATTTCACAAACTATATTCAGATAGAATGGAAATAAAACATGCAATACACTACACCACCAGTCTTTCAATTTACGCTTCATCTCCCTCTGCATTAACCCTTTTCCTGCAACTGAATGGACTAAGAATGTGAGGGAGACCCTGCTAGTTCTGATAATGCTCATAAACTTAGTCCTCACTGCCTGTAATTGATAAATATACTAATGATGGCACTATAATTTAACACTTTCTCCTTCATATCTTAGGCATAGAGATCTCTCTCATGTTATTCAGTTTTTGAGACACAGACTAACAATTCTTGCAGAGCCCATGGTACTAAGCTCTGCAGTATGAGGGTTAATATCATCAAAACATCCACATGATTCACTATCAGACAGCAAAATAATAATAATAATATGTTTTCCAATGTTCCTACTCATTTCACTGGCCCAATTCATAAATAATATTCATACCAGTTTCATGAAAAAGTAGTTAACAATAAGCAGCAATGGAGTGTACAATACTTAGCCCAAGTAACCTATTACCTTAAAGAATATCCAATTCATTTATTTTAATCTGTTGCCAGGTTACAGGCAGAAGGCCAAAGCAAACCTGAACGTTCACCTGCTGTGCTTAACATAGCCAAGTATCAAAAAGTTTTACAAATTTTAAGGGCATTTAAAGTAATTGATCTGCTAAACCAGGAGACTATGAATTTAAATACTGCATCAAATGGTTAATTGTGCTTGTGTCTATATTTCAGATGAAAGAAAACTGCAACCATAAATGTTTTGCAGTCTTGTACATTTATACTTTGGTATCTGGTGAGAACAACTGATATACAAGTAGGATCATTGGAAAAAGAAATGGCAGCATAAAAGTGTATCTATCAAACTCTCTAGCAAACAATAAAAATAAAATATGCTTCATTCCCCACATGATTTGCTCCATGGCCTGGACCCCAAAGGGCCTCATAGATGCAATAAAATGTCACAGAACCTATGGCTGAGGGTTCTAAGCACCATATATATTGGTAATTCCTGTAAGCACTCCCAATCAAGAGGTACTGTATCTGCGCCAGTGTTAGCTGGAGAAAGAAAATACTGCTGTGGTGTTCTGTACTACGATACGGCGAATTCCAGGCCACACCCAATGGACAGCGCCTTGCATCTTGTGCCACACCCACAGCGGAAGTGAGCAAGGGTCAGCACGATATACGAGTCCACAGTAGTGCTTCAGATAGTCAGTGGGTACTCATTAAGGAAAAACATACTTGTCAAATATCAAACTACATGTTACATTAATTTATTATAATACATTTTGGTATGTGCAACAGGAGAAGGAAGATGATAATAGTGAGGACAGAGGGTGAGTTCTGATATCAGCAGGAGAGAAAGAGGTAATAGCTACAGATCTGTTACACATGAACTGTCAATTACCATGAAATTTAGTGTAGTACCGTTGTAGTATCATGACCCAAACTCTCCAAATTCAACCTGTCTCACATGAACCTATTAACAAACTAACCCACATACCCAGTTGGAGTTAAATTTTAGACAGTGAACCTAACCAAGATCATGATGCAGACATAATTCAGCAGTATTCATAAACTATCAGGTTGGTATTTTTTGTTAGTTTCCACAAAGCACACAGGACATTAATGATGATTAAAATTAAATACAGCTTCTCAGTAATTTCAAGGAAAAATAATACCAATCTGAAACACATTCAGATAACAAAAGCAGTGTATAGCAGCCTCCGTAATCTAGGGGTAACGTTCCCACCTCATGACTCAAGGTACGCGGGTTCAAACCCGGCAGAGATCATGGAATTTTTAAGGGCGGAAAAATTTAGGGAACAAGTCCCCCCGGAGGGACTTCAAGCTGTGTGTCCCGTGTCTTAGATTTATGGCACGTAAGAGATCCTCATGTCTCTAGGAGACCTCTGAGCAAAATTAGGCAAAGTTTCCCACCCACGTAATTTCCAATTCCTCCGGTAGATGGGGAAGTATCAGGGACCACTGCCAGAGAGGTGGCCAACCTCGCTGGCAGGATGGGGCTGATAACGAGCACCAGTACTGGAAGGGCATGGCAACTGCTAGAATATCAAAGGGGGACGTACAATAGACTGTTAGTCGCGGTGCATGGGGAAACCCACCCCTTCTAATAATAATAATAATAATAAAGCTGTGTATGCTATCAGAAAGTCAACTTTCCAATATTAGCCTAGTCAGATATCTACAGTATTACAAAACAGACTCTTTCCATTGTTTAAGAAGTTTTCATAAGCATTTCCTTCTTTGGGTTGATAAAGTCAAACCAAGATCATAAACAGATGATTGTGGAGATACTCTCTGAAGCCAGGCACTAGGTGGTTTCACATTCCATCCTGTTTACCTTGGCAAAAGAGACCCAGATAACCAACTGAAAGGAGGCTTTGTGATTTCCAGAGACAGTTGAGTGAGACCAATGGTTCTTAATCATTACTGCAGCCTCCAGCCCTTCGCTTCTCAAAATACAGTCTCGCACCCATTATCAAAAACTGTTGAAGTATATGTCATTATACATAATTAATATTTGAGAAAATCATGAGGAATACTGCAACGCCTCCTTCCCCATGTAATGCTTGCAGAGGTTTCTAATAAGCAATAACACAAACAGCCTGACATCACACAAACACAGGAGATATGACATGCAGCAGTGTTTGTGTGCTGTATACAGAAAGACATAATTGGTTCAAATGTCAAATGGAAGACTACAAGTTCCAACCTAAGTTAACCACACAACATGAACATGACATCTTGGATATGCACTTCAAAGCCCACTGAATTAAGTGGATGTTGCTGGGGAGGGAGGCCTTAAATGTCCTAACATCAGAAAGGAATATGGTGTTGATGGTGATCAATTTGGAATTACAGCACAAAACATAAAATACAGAGGAATGTATGCTGACCTATGTCCACAACTTGCACTTCATGGAAAATTCATGAAATATTCCAAAACAAAACATGAAATACATGTACTAGCCTGAAAAAAAATGAATATTTTATTTGATAGTTTTCCAAAATTATATCAACTACTGAGGTTATGTGCTTCTGAATCAACCACAGTATTAGAAATTATAAAATGAGGAGAATACGGTAGGAAGTTGTTAGTACTGGTTCTTAAATTGAAATGTAACTTTTGCAAGAAGGGGCTGAAGAAAACCATGAAAAAACTCTTGGAAGAAAGGCAGTGGTATGGCTGATATTTGAACCAGTTACTTCCAAAATACATATGATGCAAGAGGGTGAACCATTACGTTGCAAGGAACAGTAAATTTGAAAAGGATATTATATTCCCCAGGGTGGATGGCCTCCATTGATGTACAGCACGTAAGTGAAGCCATCTTTGCACTTCCCCTTGATGGAATAATAGTAGGGGAGAAAGGAATGTAACCTGTAACATAAAAGCATTAGCATACTGAACAACTGAACACCATGGTGGGGAAACTACTGGAAGGACACAATGAATGTGATTATTTATTTAATTACACTTTATGATTACATAAGTCATACAGTGTCAAATGGTAGATCATGAATTTCAAAATATTACCATTTATATGGAGAGGCTGATGAAAACCATAAAAATCTCACTCGGATTAGCCAATGTCAAGGCAGAGTCTCAGGCTCTCCTGGATATAAAGCAGGGGTGCTAACCATTCACTCACAATGTTCAGTACCTGAATTACATTTAAAGGTATATCCTACTTCAGCATTAGCCCTTGTTCATATTTCTACAAATCACATACCCTTAACTTCCAATATGCACTGGATATAAAATGCTATCAAATTCACACACGATGCCCAGGTTCATAACCCACAATGTCAAAAACATTAAACAAACAGATCATTACAAAATAGTGATACAGAATTATGAACTTCTGCTCTGCTTATAGAACTTGCCTGTAACCATTCGATTAAAAAACTTTTCTTTCCCATCTCCTTTCCAGACACAGAACAATAAAATAGGAGTACATAAAACTACAAATTTACATCACTTTATGTAGGTGTGAAACATTCTTATCTATAAACAGAGATTCAGGATGGTGAAGAATAAAATGATGAGAAGCCTGGTTCTTGAATGAATGAATGTATAAGGTGTGGGCCTTCTCGGCCCTTGCACCACGACCTACAGTGGTCTATTGTGCTTAAGCTTGGTTCTTAGTCTTTCAGTGACAATTTTTCCACTGAATAGAATGCAAAGATGATCAGAAATCGTGAGTAAGAAAGAATATGTGAAAGAAACAGCTATGAAGATATTAATCCCAGCATTCACCTGAAGAGACTACAGAAAGCCATAAAAAATATCATGATAGCCAGGAGCCTGGCAGAGACCAAACCAGTTACTGCCATGGTACAAGTTTATACTATTAGTACTACTACATCCATTTCATGTGCGCGGGAAGAATATCTGGATCAAAGATTGAGTAACAGGAAAAATGGATATAATTACACTGCAATAATTAACTCAATCAACGGAGCACAGCACTCCTTAGAAAGCTGGCAGTCACCCAGCTGGTCCAGAAATTCCTTAACTTTTACCGAATCCAAAGGTAATGCAGTTCATAACAGTCTGCCACTAACCTTCTTCCTGAATCAAATGAATACAGTTCACATACTAATAGCCTATTTCCTTAAGATTCATATTAATATTATCATCCCATCTATCTCTCTTCCTTTCAGGTTGTCCAACAAAAATTTTGTTTACAATTAAGTTTACTTCAGTCCAATGTGACATATAATGCTTTCACCACTTCAGCACTTAGTTACCTAACATGTTTCGATTCCTAATGAATCATCATTGGAGGTATACCACTATGATCAGGAACCCAGCAATACATAAATGTTTTTATAAGACTATATACACTTAAAACATTTATGATGCTCACTATATGTAATTGTTTACTTTTCCATTGTCAAAATAGATGTTTGACATAAACTTTTATGAGAACATTCTTGAAGTATATTACTTAGAAGTGACGTAGTTGCAATCACTTCCATAAAGGATAGTTTAAAAAATGTAATTTTCCACTGCACTGTATATAAAATTCAATTTGTTTCACCACAGCAACCTTCCTTTACGTTAAAATTATGTATGAATGTGTGTAAAAAATTTTTTAAGTTAAGAAATTTGTTCATGAACCAATATTGATAGTTTTATCTTCCTTGGTAGTGGAATTGTCATCTATCCCTTTTGGTGATGTATTCTTGTTATTACTGGTGTAGTTTATATGTGTGCTATGTTGCTTGTACAGAGTACACAGTACAAGCAACACAGCACTCATATAAACTACACCAGTAATAACAAGAACACATCATCAAAAGGGATAGACGACAATTCCACTACCAAGGAAGATAAAACATGATCCATAATGGTTCATGAACAAATTTCTTAACTTAAAAACAAGTTTTTACACATTCATACATAATTTTAAAGCAAAGGAAGGCTGCTGTGGTGAAATAAATTGAATTTTGTAAGATTTGAGGCTTTCACGGCAGTGACTATGAAGAAAGCAGTCTTCTGGGATTTGGCACCGTGTATATATGGTGTTAACCAACGTTTTGGAGGAACGTATCACCTCCATCTTCAGGGTAGAAGGAAACATAAGAAATCTGCAAGTGAAGAGACCATGAGAACCGGTACAAGCAGACTGGTGTTGGAAATATACANTATTTTTCCTTCTATCCTGAAGATGGAAGTGATACGTTCCTCCATAACATCGGTTAACACCACAAATACACAGTGCCAAATCCCAGAAGACTGCTTTCTTCAAATTGAATTTTATATATAGTGCAGTGAAAAATTACATTTTTTAAACTATCCTTTATGGAAGTGATTGCAACTACGTCACTTCTAATTAATATACTTCAAGAATGTTCTCATTATAAAAGTTTATGCCAAACATCTATTTCGACAATGGAAAAATAAACAACTACATACAGTGAGCATCATAAATGTTTTAAGTGTATATAGTCTTATAAAAACATTTATGTATTGGTGGGTTCCTGATCATAGAGGTATACCTCCAATGTTGATTCATTAGGAATCAAAATATGTTACGTAACAAAGTGCTGAAGTGGTGAAAGCATTATGTCACACTGGACTGAAATAAACTTGTAGTTACTATAGGATTCTGACGATGGTGTATAACACACTGATATATTGGGTTTTTGGACTTTATCCATCGTCCTGGTTTTTAAGATAACTAATAAAAACACGACGTTTCAGAAACTGGATCTGTTTCCATCCTCAGGTGAAGGAAAACACCTATTCTGTTGGGTCCGTTAGAAAGAGCTAGCCTCAATCACTGGATCAGTGTTCCTTCAGTGTTTTCCTTCACCTGAGGATGGAAACAGATCCAGTTTCTGAAACGTCGTGTTTTTATTAGTTATCTTAAAAACCAGGACGATGGATAAAGTCCAAAAACCCAATATATCAGTGCGAAATAAACTTAATTGTAAACTTAATAGTGTGACGGACCAGAATGAAACAAATAAAAAATTTTGTATGTATTTCCCATCTTGCTTATGTCCTGCAATTACAAAGTGATGAATGTAATGATTAGTATTTCCGCCTAGTATTATTAAAAAAAGTAAAGATATCCCTATAACAGGTCACAGAGGCCCATAGGGTTGTGAGACATCAAGGCTCCCACATTTCCTAGACATGCAGCGCACAGATGGCGGTGAGGTTGTCAGCCTTATGCGCCAGCTGCCCATTACTCCCAAGAAGATTCCTGGTAGTCATTTCTGTCAGAGGATGTGTCAACTCCAGGGCGATAGTACAGCTGGAAGGATTAGGTCAATTGAGAAATCCAATGACCTCATTAGTAATCAAACCCGCAACCTTTGGCTTGCAGCACAGTGCCTCAACCAACTACGCTACCACATGCCCTGCCACCACCTAGTATTATTAGGATATTTAATTCACAGTGATTACATGGATGTTATACATAGCATATATTGACAAATAATACAGGCATACAATCCTTTCATTGAAAAATACATGGGAAGAATCTCTTGGGAAAACAAGGACATACATGGTGTGTCCAGGATCTGTTAGGACTCAATTTTTTTTTAATTTTGCCCCGCAATGCCATCTATTGGTGAGTTGTGGCATTAAGATTCTTGAAGTTTCAGCTGTGGCTGTCTATAATTTAAAAGTGCAAGCATCACTGCATCGTGTGTTCTAACCTTCAATGTAACAGTACTGTTCTGATGCTTGTCGGAAAATGGCAGTTGAACAGAGAGCTGGAGAAGTGTATGAAATGATGAAAAGTGTTTATGATAGTGATTGTTTGAGTCGCTTGAACATTTTTCGATGGTATGCTGTATTTCGTGACAGCAGGGAGGACACTGAAGATGCTCCACGTGCTTCAAAGCCGAGAATAAGTTGCACTGAAGAAAATGTGAAAAAAGTGACCAAAATCCTTGCATCAGACAGATGTGTTTCTGCAAGACTCATCGAGGAGCTTTTGGGAATACCAAAAAGTACTGTGCATCAAATTTTGACTGAGGATTTGGGCAAACGGAAGGTCTGTGCATGGTTTGTACTACACACACTGTCAGGCAATGAAAAACATGCCAGAATGGAACACTGCAAACACATGTTACGGTCGGTCCAAAGTGATACAAAATTTACAAAATCGATTGTTACTGGTGACGAGACATGGTGTTTTCAATATGAGCCTCTCACAAAGTGGCAGAGTGCAGTGTGGCTGAGCCCAAAGAAGCCGAAACCAAAGAAAGTGGGCATGCAAACGAGTCGAGTAAAGACACTGCTAACCATTTTCTTCGATCCCAAAGGAATCATTCACAAGGAATTTCTGCCAGAAGGTCAAACCGGGAATTCTGATTATCATCTCGGAGTCCTCAATCGTTTGTGGGCAAGAATTCTTTGAATTCGACCTGAATATCGAGAGCAAGGTTCCTGATCACTCCTCCACGACAATGCCCCACCCCACAAATCAAAGATCATGCGCGATTTTTTGGCCAGAAAAGGGATCACAGTCCTTGATTATCCCCTGTATTTGCCACATTTGGCTCCAGCAGATTTCTGGTTGTTCCCAAAAGATAAGTTGGCAATGAAAGGAGACCATCATGACACCATTCAGAACATCCAAAGGGAATCTACCGCAGTTTTAAATGTGATTGCACAAAAGGAGTACAGTGACTGTTTTCAAAAACTTTTCAATCGATTCAAGCTATGTACTGATTCAGAAGGAGACTATTTTGAATAAAAAGGGTGAAATTTTGAAAATAATTCATGTCTTGTATTTGTAATGAACACAGTCCTAACAGAACCTGGACACACTGTGTACATATATGGGAAGACGTTAAAGTGCATCTCACAGAAATGACATCAGGTTGTGCACTGGATAAGTGATTTACAGTAGAGTCCAATAGTTCTTATGGGGGGGAGAGTCCTTATTTGTAACCAACTGTATGTCATCTACCTGAAATTGCGATGTTCATAAAAATGAATGGCAGGTGAATTAGTTGTGAGAACATGCAGAAAGAGGGCCTTGCAGTCCACATGTTCAACGGTCGTGAGGTGAGAAATTAAATTATCGAGCAGGAGGGAGGCTATGCCATTACGGCGGTGATCTTTGCTCACTCCTAGACTCAAGATGTATCCTACTTCTGTCTGCTTACTGAATGACTGTGACAGAATACCACGATCCTGAAACAAAGAATATAAGAAATATCTATAGAAAAGAGGATATAATAAAGAAACGTATATGGAACAGTCAGAAACTAAATTTACAAGGCATACTTCTTGAAGTGATTCATACAAACTTCAATATGAATGATAAAACACCACTGTATGGCTCATGGTCCCTACGTAGAATCACATTTTGAAAACTGTGGAATGAGTTTTATCACCTCTCCATAGCAATTCTTGCAACAAATGTTTACTGCTTGTTTCACATTATCATCACTTTAAAATCTGCGTCACATGATGCTTAATTAATTAAACACAGGGAAAACTCTACCCCCTTTTACCTTTACATTCCCAGATGACCCTTCAGCATTAGAAACAGATAAAGCAATATCCGAGAGGTCAAAACTGAAATTGAAACAGAAACAGCAGTGAAACTATGTTAACACACCCATATAAACTAACTTTTTCCTTAGAAGGCTCATCTTCTCTACACTCCCTGATATCTGGTACAGCCACCTCTAGCAAAAAAATTGTTCGTGGCACTCCACAGACAAAATTTCCAAGCAGTGCACTGAAAATGAGACACTTTAGAGAAATCATTCAGCACAGAAATGCCTAACATATAATAAAAAAATACAAGGAATCATATTAATTTCAGATAAGAAAGGTTAAATAAGTAACCAACATGTGTGTCTAAAATTGTAATGTTTATTTTTTAAATAAAATATCAAATTACACCAAAATTATGCTAAGGTGTGAACGTACCTCTCGATTTAACTTTATATAAGATTTTATTTCTGCCACAATAAGACCAATGATGACACCATCATAGACTGCTGCCAAGGAATAGAATCTAGGATTTGAAGTGATGTCTTCATACCATGAGTAAGGATAATCAATAGGAAACCAATCCTGGCAAAGTGCCCGCACCTGAAACACGCACATTAGAGAACACCAAACTGATTGCTGAAATTATGTCCCCAATGAACGTCATATGACAGAATTACTGTGAAATGCAGAATTTGAAGAGATGTGGTAGGGATCAGTACTTTCTTATTTTAAGACACTACCACCTTTTACCCAGATGAACTAAAAAACACTATGAACACTTGCAATTCGGACAGCTGACTCCCAGACAAGATTCTAATCGGGCACTTCAGGAAAGCAAGTCAGATATGTTTCCAATATGGCAAGCTAGTGAGCAAAACATATAAATGATATATTACTGAAGCAATAAGAAACAAAAAGAAATTAAGAATAACAAGGTTTTTAACTCCATTTAGCAGAAGCCTTCATGAGAAACTAATCACCCAGGAAGTCAAGAAATTCTTTCCTTTTTTGGGAACCAGAAGTCTCACTGTAATACTCACAATCCCTTACAGCATAAACAATAATAAAATCATAAGTACCCTTGACCGAGCATCAAGATTGCCACTTCTGATGTCATCCTTGATATGGTTTCCCACCATTTCGATTAGGACTTTTGTGTTAGTGATTACTGCCTGAGATTAAAGGACTATGTAAAAGTTTTATTAATGGAATTAAAATCTTTGCACCAGCTAATCAAGATACTGCATGAAGATCAAACAAATTCACATAACCTCAAAAGTCAAGTAAACTCAAAACTTGATACCCAAGGTCTCAACTAAAGTGAGTCGAATCAGGATGAAAGTAGGTAAAGCCAAACATAAAATCCAAATACTTTGTGACAGTCATGCAAGAGGATTAGCAAATGAATTGAAATATAAACTAACTTGTGATTACGAAATTCAGGGTGTGACAAAACCAGGATCAACACTAGTAAATTTGGCAAATATCACTTCATCAGACCTAAAGACTCTAACAAAGAGTGATGTTTGTATAGTATGGGGTGACTCGGACAATGTTGGGCAAAATGAAGCAAATATGGGAATTTGTGCTTTGAAACATTTTATAAGTTCCCATAAGCATACAAATGTACTTTTATTGAGCATTCCTCAAAGGCACGATCTTATTCCAAATTCTTGTGTTAATAATGAAGCTAAAATATTCAATAAAACTCTAGTTAAACTAAAAAAGGTATTTCATAATCTTTCTGTGATAACTGTGGACACTGATAGGGACCTGTACACAAGACATGGCCTTCATCTAAATGTTCATGATAAGGAGCACGTAGCAAATAAAATCGCTGCTGTAATAAATGATCTGTTTACTCAAANACTCGGACAATGTTGGGCAAAATGAAGCAAATATGGGAATTTGTGCTTTGAAACATTTTATAAGTTCCCATAAGCATACAAATGTACTTTTATTGAGCATTCCTCAAAGGCACGATCTTATTCCAAATTCTTGTGTTAATAATGAAGCTAAAATATTCAATAAAACTCTAGTTAAACTAAAAAAGGTATTTCATAATCTTTCTGTGATAACTGTGGACACTGATAGGGACCTGTACACAAGACATGGCCTTCATCTAAATGTTCATGATAAGGAGCACGTAGCAAATAAAATCGCTGCTGTAATAAATGATCTGTTTACTCAAAAAGTGTCACCTGTCATTGCCTTAAAATGGAAGGAAAGGGAAGACATGACAAGCTGTAAGATTTGAGGCTTTCACGGCAGTGACTATGAAGAAAGCAGTCTTCTGGGATTTGGCTGCTTTTACCGGTTCTCACAGTCTCTTCGCTTGCAGATTTCTTATATTTTTTCTTCTACCCTGAAGATGGAGGCGATACGTTCCTCCGAAACGTTGGTTAACACCACATATACATGGTGCCAAATCCCAGAAGACTGCTTTCTTCACATGACAAGCTATTTGACTGAAAACCAGCCTCAGTGTATAAACAAAGTTACTGTGAGTGGTTGGAATAAAATGATTCAGCGTCAGTCTTATCAAAAGGGTGACTCTGTGGACTTTACTGAGTGTGATGGGCTCACTGTGTCAAGTGAAGAAAATCGAGTGTTGACAACTCAGGTACCCAAAGAGAGTATCTGTTCAGCTAAGGGAAATAAGAGTGCACTAGTTCAATTATGGACAATAAATTGACTGATCCACCTTTTTCCTTGAATTATCAGAGGAAACCCTAAACAAGGTTAAAATAAAGGGGCATCTCTTAATGTTATGTGGGGATTGGAACATAAATTTATTAGAGGATAATACCTATCAGAAGGCTTTACAAAGTCTACTGTTATTAAATAATCTACAAAACTTGGTTTTATGTCCAACCCGTGTTACTTCAGACACTTGTTCCTTGCCGGATGTTATGATAATAAATAAATTTTTTTACCATTCAACTAGATGGGTTATAGAACTTGGCTTTTCTGATCATTTTGCATTGGTTATGAGTATACTTGTTCACAGCCCTTCTAGCTGTTTAAAATATGTGGTAAAAAAAAAGAAAAAAAAATACTGCAAATTTTAAGGATAAACTAAAAATCGAATTATGGGACGAGGTCTATCTTCAGTCTGATGTAAATAGTGCCTATTGTGTCTTCCTAAGTAAGTTTCATAAGTATTTTTTGCACTTTTTCCCTTTAAAAAAAGTTTTTAACAAGAAAGAGAAAAAATCAAGCTGGATCACACAAGGGATAAAGGTGTCTAGACGCAGGCTGCAACTATTATGTTTTTTAAAGATATCCCTGTCAGTTCACACTTTGAAGTATATAAAGAAATATCAGAGAATTTATAAAAAAGTAATTTCTGTTGCCCATCAAAGAGAAAATGACCAAATTATTAAAAGGTCAGTCAAAAATTAAAAAACTCTATGGCAAATAAGAAAAAAAGGAGTCAGGAAATAATTTTACAGAAATAGAAAACATTTCTTTAGAAATAGACTCTAAGTTAGTTACAAACCCACAGGATGTACCCCAACAATTTAATGAATCTTTTGTAAATAGCATAGACAAACTGATACATTTAAATAAAAATTGTAAAATTGACCATGCCACTACAAATGATGTGATACAAAACCTAAATGTGTTATTTCTTGCCCCTGTTACTAAAGAAGAGGTTCTTCAGGTTACTAATAAACTAATAACGAAAATTTCAGCAGGTTATGATGAGATCCCGGATATGATAGTTAAACAACGTATCCAAACCATAAAAAAACCTTTGACTTTTATATTTAATCTGTCACTAAGTTCTGGCATCTTTCCAAATCAAATGAAAATTGCAAATTCTAACGGGCCCAACTGAGTAAGTTTATCCTTCCCTACCCACCTGAAGACGGAGACAGATCCAGTCTCCGAAATGTCGTGGTCTTTTGTCGTTTACATACCAGATGATGGATAAAGTTCAAAATAAGCCAGAAGAAATCTCAATTTTGTCTGTTTTTTAAAAAATTCTTGAAACATTGATGTACAATAGAGTTGTAAATCTGATATCAAATGCTCAAAATGGTTTTAGAAAAAATATATCCACCTTTACAGCAATTCAAACATTTATTGGAGAAATTCAGAAAACTCTAGATAATAAACAATTGGCCTTTGGTATATTTTTGGATCTATCAAAGGCTTTTGATGTTATTAATCATAACTTGCTGCTGGCAAAGTTTGAACCGTATGGACTGAGAGGAATATTTGATGCATGGATGAGATCGTATCTTACAGATAATCACAGTTTGTTTCAATTCACTATATGGATCAAAATACTTCTAAAATGAAGAGAGTTACCTCATCCCTTAAAGCAATTAAATATGGTGTACCTCAAGGTTCTGTTTTGGGACCCCTTTTATTCCTGTTATTTATAAATGATCTGCCCTGAGTTATACACAATGCAGAGGTAGTACTATTTGCTGATGATACAAATATACTTATTACTGGAAAAAAATCTTATCATTAAATGAAAAAATTAAAAAATAGAATTAATTAGAAAATTGGTTTTATGAAAATTGTTTAATAATAAACACGGATAAGTGAAAGGTATTATTTTTTTCAGGGAAGTACATCTATTCCAAGTACCAGACCCCTTTTTTATATAAATAATAAGGAGGTGGTTTGTTTAGTGGATGTAAAATTTTTGGGTATTTGCATTACTGAAGATTTAAGTTGGGCAATCCACACCCAATATGTGTCAAAAACTTAGTAAGACTATCTATTTGATAAAATCCCTATGGGACTCAATGAGCCAAACTGTTTTAAGAAGTGTGTATCTTGCAAAATTTGTGTCCGTGTTGAAAGACGGTATTATTTTTGGGGGTGGGGTGCAAAAGGACTCTGAAACTCTATTTAAATTGCAGAAAAAGTGTGTAAGGGGGGTAAAAGGTGTTAAAAATAGTTTTCTGTAGAAATTTGTTTTGTGAATTAAAGATTTTAACTGTTACTTCCTTATATTTTTTTTTTGATCCTATGTTTTATAATAAAAAATAAGATTTATACCACCCAGTATTCTGACGTTCATTGCTATAACACTATTCATAAACACAATCTGTATGTACAATTTTGTAATACTGGGCATAGCAAGAGAGGAGTGATTAGTATGGAAACCAAAATATTTAATGGTCGTCCAATTGAATTAAAGAATGTAATAAATTTTAATGTTTTTAAGAAGAAACTTAAGAATCATTTGTTGTGTAATGTCTTCTATTCTCTTCAAGAATTTTTAATAATTCTTGACATGGACTGCTTTTGATAAATCTGTCTATATGTCTATTTTTATGTCTTTTTTGGAGTATTTACTATTATTAATAATGTTGACATAGACTGCTTGTAATAAATTTGTCTGCATGTTTAAAATATTTATTCTTATGTCTCTTTTGGAGTATTTACTATTCTTAAATTAAGTTAAAAAAGTACTTTGAAACGTATTGCTATATTACAGTGATAAATTACTGTGCGAATGTTATGTTATTTTTGATGTGAAGTTATTATTTGACATGTCCAGTCGTAATTCTCTACAGCTATGGATGAAATAAATAAATAATAATAAACTTTCTTAAAAAAAACAAATAGCCTGCAATAAAGTATAGCAAGAAACTTTAACAAATACTTTCTAAAGCAGTTTCATCTTCTGCATTTGTTACATAGTGTCAGGAAAAAAGAGAGTATAGAAATGGGGCCATTATGATCATATGCAAATAATTGATGGAAAGTACTTCTTCCATATCGGCCATAAGTCCTTGGTCCATTTCTTGCCTTCTGTGCTATAATATTACTAAACTGGGTAAGGACACCAATACACTCTTTCCTCTTCAATCAAATAAAAATCCAGACATTATCTGCTATCTCCACAAAAAGCACAAGCTTTGAAACAATCGTAAAATAACAGATAATTAAATATGTAACTAAATAAATTTAGTTTGCAATATATTACAAACCTCCTCCAAATCTGAGGGACATAAAAACCTCAACTGAAGATTTGTTAAGCTGCAGAGTGGCACTGGTTTAGTCATACAGGATTTCTGATTTATTTGGCACCCAGCATACCTGTAAGAAAGCGTAGAAATTGTTATTTTCACTTCTACGTGGATCGAATGATAAGTAAGAATCAGTGTTCAATCTAACCCTGCTTTATTAAGACTAGACTTTTGATATACAAAAAGCGTTTTGTATATTGTCACGTGTTGGGTATATGTCACGTGACAAGTAACTTCACGCCTTATTTGTTATAGTGAATTTATTGAACACTCGCTCTCACAACCACACAATTTACAATCTCACAATTACTGCCATCAGCAGTATCACAAATACTTCTCCTGTAGTCACTGCCATGCACTCTATACAACACAACTTGGCAACCGCTAGATTGCACTGACTGGTTAATTGTTACTCACTAGCAACTTGCTCACTCGTAACTGGCTCAATCCACACTCACCAATCACTCACTACTGAATAGTCTTCGCCGCTCCTTATTTAGCCTCGGCACGGACAACACAGAAAACAACTACGTGATAGGTACCACTGTTGCCGGACGCCGTGTTTACAGGTGTTGCTAGCAACGCTGTGGAGAGTTGTCTCCTGCTGCGTAGCAACTGTGGTATCCCTTGGTAACAACACAGCCGCTCCTCAGCCACGTCACCGTGGGGGAGGGGGGCGCCCACCGAGTGTTGCATACTGGTGGAAGGAGTGGGGGTATATGACATCACTCGCGAGACCACAGAGTTCACGCGACCCCTACTTCCCATTGCGCCATCCACGTCACAATATATTCACACACATAACCATAGTAACACATAACAATAGAGAAATTAGGAACAGTGCATGTAGCGCAGTCTATTATTGAAAATTGTTTACTACGACATTGCCAACTCTAGCATTATTATTTTACCATTAGAGAGTTTTTATTACTTATCATTTATATTCTTTATTATTATATTATTATACTTGTTTTATTACTTGGGTAATAGACTCTGGTGCTTCACACCATATGACTGGAAATAAGACTGTTTTTCAAAATTATAAAGCACATGATTCAAAGAACATGTGATAAGGCTTGCTGATGATAACGTGTTGACTAGTGCACGTTTTGGTGATGTAAAACTTGTGAATGACAATTTTAGCCATATCTCNTGGAGAGTTGTCTCCTGCTGCGTAGCAACTGTGGTATCCCTTGGTAACAACACAGCCGCTCCTCAGCCACGTCACCGTGGGGGAGGGGGGCGCCCACCGAGTGTTGCATACTGGTGGAAGGAGTGGGGGTATATGACATCACTCGCGAGACCACAGAGTTCACGCGACCCCTACTTCCCATTGCGCCATCCACGTCACAATATATTCACACACATAACCATAGTAACACATAACAATAGAGAAATTAGGAACAGTGCATGTAGCGCAGTCTATTATTGAAAATTGTTTACTACGACATTGCCAACTCTAGCATTATTATTTTACCATTAGAGAGTTTTTATTACTTATCATTTATATTCTTTATTATTATATTATTATACTTGTTTTATTACTTGGGTAATAGACTCTGGTGCTTCACACCATATGACTGGAAATAAGACTGTTTTTCAAAATTATAAAGCACATGATTCAAAGAACATGTGATAAGGCTTGCTGATGATAACGTGTTGACTAGTGCACGTTTTGGTGATGTAAAACTTGTGAATGACAATTTTAGCCATATCTCAGATGTATTGCATGTACCAAAATGGTCTGCAAATTTGTTATCTGTGAATTCAATTGTAAACAAGGGTATGAGTGTGTTATTCACCAAAGACTGTTGCAACTTAAATGATTCTGATGATTCTGAGGTAAGAGGCAAAGTTCTTGCCAAAGCATATCCTGAAAATGGGATTTATTGTTTAAATACCAAAGAGAATAATGACAAATGTGAGAAATCTTGTACTAATATTGTAAAGAATGAACAAGTTGCAGGTACGCAGCAAATTGATGAACAGCTGTTGTGGCATAGGCGTTTGGGGCATTTAAATAGGGTTAGCATGCGGTTGCTTAAAAAAGGTTTAGCTAGTGGCATTGATTTTCAAGAAGAAGAAGATCAGTCAAAAAAATGTATTCCATGCCTGGAAGGCAAGATGACAAAGAAGCCTTTCCTACAATCAAAGAACAAACGGTCAAAAAAGGATACTTGATCTATTACATTTAGATCTGGTTGGGCCATTTGAAGTACCCTCTTATGCAAATGCTAAATATTTTTTGACTATTGTGGATGATCATAGTAAAAAAATCTTCATTCATTTCTTGAAACAAAAAGGTGACACATATTAAGCCTTTAAAGAATTTATGAAAATGGTTGAGACAGAAACTGGATTAACTATAAGAGCAGTTCGTTCTGATAATTGTGGTGAATTTTGCAACAAATTATTCAATGACATATTAAATCAAAGGGAGTTAAAAGGGAATTCTCTGTGTCGTATAATCCACAACAAAATGGAACTGCCGAACGAGCTAATCACAGTACTCTGGAAAAAACAAGATGTATGTTGTATGATTCCGCCTGCAACAAAAGATTCTGGGCTGAAGCAGCGCAAACATCCATATATCTTTTGAGCAGAGCACCTCACAAGAAACTAAAGAACCTATTGCCTGAAGAAATATGGACAGGAGAAAAGATTGATCTCTCCCACATAAAAATTTTTGGATGTCCAGCTTATGCTCATGTACCATCAGAGAAACACCAAAAATTGGATGCTGTGAGCAAGAAATACATTTTTATTGGATATAGTGAGGATAGTAAAGCTTATTGGTTATCAGATCCCCTCAATCCGTCTCAAATAGTTAAGGCAAGAGATGTAGAATTTATGGAAGAAATTATAAACAAGAGAGTGAGAAGGGATTTCAGCTTAAAGAGATTCTTCCAGAGTTGTCAAGTTTCTACCTCGACCCACAAGACGAACCACCGATTCAGGAAGAACAAAACCCCGAAGAACAAACACAAGTAGAAAATGAAAGAAATGAAGTTCCATTAGAGCCGAACGGCTTAGAACAATTACCAGGAAATTTGGAAGAAAGACGATATCCACTTCGGAACAGGAAATAGAAAGAATTTCCAGAATTTATTACCTACTTAGCCATGCATAAAAATGAGGAGTCAGAACCAGTCACATATGAAGAGGCACTGTCAAGCTCCGATAAATCTAAATGGAAAGAAGCTATTCAACAGAAATTACATACAACCTGATTCAACAACTCAAATTCTGAATTCGTGTAGCTGTCACATATTCAACTTACCAGTTAATTCCAGCCATGAAATGCCCAGTCCAAAGCCAGGCCTACATCATTTCAATTATTCGGCAACATATTTGGAAGTATACTACATTTCAAGTTTAGCTAATGCAGACTTTTCACAAATATAACCTTGGATATTTATATTGCTATTAGTGTTGAACTGACAGAAACATTATTGAAGGAAATACACTCATTGCCTCCGACGTTTGTTGTCATTGTAAGTCCAAAATACCCAGGTAAACTAACATTGAAACAGTAATTACTCTTCAAATTAACATCGTATGAATGAATGAATGACTGAATGAATACTTCAAACTTTGAGCACATATAAATTCATTCCTCACATTTTATTAAACATACAAAATATTTATTTATTAATATACTGAAATAAATGCCTCTTGGGTCTAGGATAAAATGCAATGTTCATATAAACCCCAGTATTTAATTTACTAGCTGTGCTTTAGCTCTAAGATATTGGTCAAACTGGACATACACAAATGGCGAAAATTGAATCGTATCAGGGTTTCAAAGGTTAGTAATATTTTATTTAATATAATAATTGAGAAGGAAACATGTTTTCTCAGAATAGTGAAAAGGTGTTGTATTTCAGAGCATATATGCTGTTATAACCTGTTATGGTTCGTAATGCTTAATGCATGGAAACTTCTAACCTCAAACTTTCCTTTAATGTATTGTATGTTCATGCCTTAGTACAAGGAATTACATATGATGGTTATTTTCTGACAGCTTTTCGAGTAAAATTCAATGCGGAGAGTACTACACAACATTGGTTATATTATAAGGAACATTCGGTGCGAGAAAAGAATGCCAGTAAACCCTCTAACCGGACCCTCTTCGTCGTAAATGTACCTCCGTATTGTAATGAGGTAATCCAAATATATTTGTGGTGCTAAATTCAGTTAGTATGTATAGTATACAAATATACTGAAACACATTAACTTTCCAGGATTGCTTTAGGCGAATCTTCAGTTCATGTGGACCAGTGGCATCAATATTCTTTCATCAGAAGCCATCAGCAGGCACAGCTCCTCTTGAGGAATCACATTTTTTTCCAAAATACCCACGAATTAAGGTAATATTGTATATTATTTTTTAAGTTATACAATATGCTGAACCAGAGAAATTAAGTATTTAATTAATTATATACTTATAACTGGAAGAAAAAGCAATGTGTACATGTATACACACCAGTATTTTTGTTGTATATGTGTGAATCACGCCCATATGCTTACTTTGTTTTAAGTTTCTGGTAAATTTTTTCAAACACTATCAGATTTTACAAATCCACAAATTTCATAAGCAGTTAAAGTATTAACTTTCATTCTCTTCCATTTTATTGAAACTTACAGTTTAAAAAATAAAATTCTCTCACACATATTTTTAAAGAACATGTAATGATACTGTAAATTTGACAATTTAATTTTTCCTTTATTTCTGATCTCACACCATTCGATATTTTCCTGTCAGCTGACTTGAAATCTGTGTGCAGCCAGTACCACAACACATTGCAGCTCAGCATGTGGCAGTATATTCACATGTGTGAGCAATAAGACATGTTTCTGTCCAAGTACATTAAAACATAGTGGATTCATTCATTATCCCTATTTTTCATATTGTACTTGGTTCTCCTTCACTACTGCTTCACTCTACCTTGGCAAAATATCCCCCATTCTACCATGTCACTTTTGTAACACTGCCATAATGGTTCAGGCCTGGGTAAAACATTCCAATACTTGTAATTGGAAACATGATTTACAGCAGCTTTTCCCTTCTTTACAATTTTCTGTATTTTGCCAAATAAGTGAGGCCTCCTTTGGCCCAGACTTTTAGGACACCTTGTGTAACTAGTTCCCTAAGGGCTGGCGATAACGAATCACAGCAGACCTAGGAGAACTTGCACAGCAAGTTATAACACTGGACCATGCATGAGGTTAGTGTGTTAAAGGGCCTTATTTATAAAATGCTCATGTAAATCAACACTGAAATTGTATATTAACTTTACAGGGATTCAAGGTTGCATATGTGGTGTTTGAAGATAACAGGGGGCTTCAGAATGCTTTGAAATTGGAAAAGAATATGGAACCAATAATTTTATGCACTGATGAGACACCCATTACCTGTGGAATACAAAGTAAGTTTGTTTTCTGCACATTGGTCTGATTTGTGGGTATTAAAAGTCACAAGTCTGTAATCATCCACAGAAAAAGCAAAAAGTACCAACCAAATAAGATGAATTTATGAAATCGCAGAACAACTGTTCTAACTCAAAAGAATGTAAAAAGGTGGGTTTGGTTGGATGTCATCTAATAAGGTCCAACAAATTTAATTCAAAAGAAAGTTCCTGCAGTAAACTTTACTGTTATTGTTATTGGGTAAAGGTAAAGCTATCTCTGTAACAGGCCGTGGAGGCCCACAGGATTGTGAGATGTCGAGGCTCCCAAATTTTCTAGACAATCAGCTCACAGATGGCAGTGAGGTTGTCAGCCTTACAAACCCACCACTGTTTATCCCCAGGGTCATAGTGTGGCTGGAAGGATTAGGTCAAATGAAAGATCCGATGACCTCATCGGAAATTGAACCCACTACCTTCTGGCTTGTAGCATAGTGCCTCAACCAACTGTGCTACCATGTGCCCACTGTCATTGGGCAGAGAAGTTTAATGTCATTGACATTTGATAACTATGGTATATCATTATTTTTAATTGTCACTAATAATATTAATTTTACAAATTCAGCCATCAATGCAACAAATGTAAGATTTGAGGTTTTTACAGCGGTGACTATGAAGAAAGCAGTCTTCTGGGATTTGGCACCATGTATATATGGTGTGAACCGACATTTCAGAGGAACGTATCACCTTCATCTTCAGGGTAGAAGGAAAATATAAGAAATCTGCAGGTGAAGAGACCATGAGAACCGGTACAAGCAGATTGGTGTTGGAAATATACACAGCTATGTGAGAGCAGTGAAGGAAGGGGTAAGGGCAAGTCTACAAGTGAAATCAGTGGAGTGGGAGGGGGGGAGAAAGGAGCTGGGGCAGAAGCAGGGTTTTATGTTGGGGGAGAGAAAGGCAAGGTTAAAGGATGGGCAGACAGGCCACTCCGTGGACGTGAGGTTGAAGGAGCATCAGCGGCACATCCGTCTCAAACATCTGGACAAATCAGCCGTAGCTGAACACAGCATCGATTTGAGACACTGTATTGAGCTTCAGAATACCTCCATCCTCGCCACCAAGACCCGCTATATGGATTGCATCATTAGGGAAGCCATTGAGATTGAACTCCATCCTGTCAATATGAACAGCAAGTCATGGAAGCCTCTCATCTGTTCTCTTAAAAACCCCCTCCGGGATATGCCAGATCCAGAAGGCTACACAGGCCATGACCGACTAACATAACAATCCCCCCCCCAGCTTTAGGGTTAGTGCCCATCCTTTAACCTTGCCTTTCTCTCCCCCAACACTACTGTTTTCACTTGTATACTTGCCCTTCCCCCCCTTCCTTCTCTGCTCACACATAGCACACATAGCTGTGTATATTTCCAACACCAGTCTGCTTTTACCGGTTCTCACGGTCTCTTCGCTTGCGGATTTCTTATATTTTTCCTTCTATCCTGAAGATGGAGGTGATACGTTCCTCCGAAACGTCGGTTAACACCACATACACACAGTGCCAAATCCCAGAAGACTGCTTTCTTCAATGCAACAAATGTTTATCAATTTAAACCACACTACATGTTTAAACCCTTAAGGAGTCATCTTCGGGTGTTCTTAGTTACACAATTAATTACTGAATTGTAACACATGATCCTGTCTGAATATTTCTTATCATTGTACTAGTGTTAATCACCATATTCCTATTTTATATACATAAGCTGTGAAGTGGCTGTATTCTATGTATTCTTCTTACTGTTTACTTATATACTGCTTATTGGATATTGAATTAAACTGGGGTTAGGTATTAGTTTTATGTAAAATTAACAATTTTTTAAAACTTAGTTAAAACTAAGATCTAAAAGCTTGTGATGATGGTAAATTGTTACAATTAATATGTTGCTGGACATTATCCATCATCTTGTCTGTTCTAAAAAACCGTATAGTTTCTATTAAAGAACACAACGTTTCGGGAACTGGAATCAGTCCCTGTCTTCAGGTTAAACCTACTCAGTTGGGTCCAATAGACAGAGCTAGCCCCTATCTCTGGACAACTATGCCAGTTCCCGAAACGTTGTGTTCTTTAATAGAAACTATACGGTTTTTTAGAACAGACAAGATGATGGATAATGTCCAGCAATATATTAATTGTAGTTAAAACTGATTAGAAATGTAAAAAATGTTGTGGGCTATAATTGACTTCATGTCATTGTACTGTAGTAGACCACGCTTGTCTTCATGTTAGCTTTTTCCAGATGCTTCTATTATTTGTTGCTTTAATTCATTATGTTGTTATCATGTTCTGCTTTCTTGACGACCAAATGACTTTTATTTCTTCAGTATGACTGCATGACAGTAGTTAATGTTGATGTTCCTGCATTCAGTCTAGTTTATGTGGTATACTTTTTCTGATGGCTGAATTTGTAAAATTAATATTATTAGTTGTAATCATGCAATAGGATGCAAACAATAAGATTTGAATTGTCACTTTTGGACTTTATCCACTGTCTGATTTAGCATATAAAATTCTAAAAATTGCTGTTTTGGAGACTGACTCTGTTTCTGTCCTCAGGTAAAACACAGAAAGAGAAGCTAACCTTACACTGTAGGACCTGTTAGACAAAGCTAACATTCATCAGTAGGTATCTTTGTGTTTTACACATTTTACCTGAGAACAGAGACAGACCAGTGTCTGAAACGTAGTATAAATTTAGAACTGTGCTAGAAATCACATGATATAATAGCGCAAATAAAGTTTCATAATAATGGGAATGGTGAAGCTTCATAAAGGCTGGCAAGCCTAAAGGAACATTAAATGGTATGACATGCATTTACCACTTGTTTTATGGTTACATAAAGACAATATTTTGATGCAAATGGAAAGATATAAATACAGACCAGAAGATATTGTATAATGAACTTAATGCAGTGGAAGATATCTTTAATACTGAAATGAATATGAGGAAAGTTGATTGTCAGGATGTAAACTGAGTGCTACAAAGAATGAGAGAGCCAGAGCCAGTCTTCAGTTAGATTTACAGTTACAATTACTGAACCCTGCAGGTGTACATTTCAATTTTACATCTTTAAACTGATAATCTGTAAAGTCTTCTGTGCACATATAGCAACTTTCCTAGGCAGCATTTCCATGAAACAAACATATGCACTGTGGGTTAGTCCGACTTGATGGATTAAGGTGATACTGCAAGATGGAATGTCTCAAAAATAGTAATATTCATTTTCATCAATTTTTCCCAGAATGGTGCCAAGAATACAACAACAGAATACCAGATATCAGTCTTTTACAGAAAGATATTGATACTTTTATGGAAAAATTTGACAGTGAAGCCAGCAGAAAGGCTCTGAAGGAAAAGGAAGCAATGCAAGAAGATGATGAGGGCTGGACCACTGTCACAAAGAGGTGAGCTGAACTGCAGTAAAGCAGGTCTCAGGACCAAAAATCAACGTTTGTTTGTTTATGGCTACACATGCCTAAGTTTTGCAGGAGTCCTGTCTTAAACACATACTGAACAGGCTGGTGTAGTGGGTCACATTCTAGACTTCTTTTGGAATATATTCAGTTTGAATCTTGGCTGGGACAGTCCTTCCCATCCATTAGTATATGCCCTCTGTAGGTGAAATAGCATCATTGAGTCATTTGGGAATCAATCAACCAACCAACTACCCATAAACACTACCATAATTAAATGTTCCATAAGACTTTACAAACGGTCTATTGCAGTGTTTGAATATAGTTCGTAATGTCAGATTTGTGGTGAAGATTCTGATGCAGTGACCTGACTTTATGACGGTGTGCAGTCTGCTAGGGGGTTACAAGGATTACCTAACAGACTACATGGTGCCGTAGTCCAGAAGGCCATCTAAATATCTGTAAGTTTTAGTCTTCTGGGTTATGACACCATGTAGTACAGTACAGGGATTACCTAACAGACTACATGGTGTCATAACCCAGAAAGCTATATAAATATTTGTAAGGCATTGTCTTCTGGGGATATGACAGGAGAACTCTGATAGGATGTTACCTGGCAGCATCCAGAAGACATCTAAATATTTGTAACTTGTCTGTTTAATGAAGAAAATTACAAGTGACATGATGTATGCCTATCACTATTACTGGCTACATAACACTGTGACCCAACAGCATGTGAAAAGGTCACATATAAGTTTCATCTATGTTGATCCCTCCTTCTCCTACCTGTTGCTTGTATCAGTGGACAACTTTGTCTCTAAGGCAGCGTCTACACAAGCGCACAAAATGCATCTATTGTAATGAACATACTTTGCTGAGGACACCACACAGTTGCAGAATGCGGTGTGTAGTTTTTTGTCTGCAATGAAACTACATCCTCAACATCCTCAGCAAAGTACATTCATTACAATGACGCATTTTGTGTGCTCGTGTAGACGCTGCCTAACTGTGAGGTAGCCAATTCTGCCAATATACTGCACAATTTACTCTACAACAATATTCAACGGTTCTTTTAACAGAGGGAGAAAGCCTGGATTTGCTCGTAAGGAGAGTGTTGAAAAGAAAATAATGGGGAAAGAAAAGCTACGAAGATCAAAGAAGGAACTGCAAAATTTCTACAGATTCCAAATACGAGAGTCCAAAATGAAGCGTAAGTATGAAGTGGAGTTTGTATATCCACATCATCTTGTAACTTAGTCAGAGGGGGATCACAGTGTCCAGTTTGACTGAAAATTACATTTCAGGACTGATCATGACATGTGAACAATCATTATAAGCACGCAGCTTCAGGGGTGTGTATACATGACAATCATCATAAAATGTATTACAAATTTATATATGTATAAAAATAATTTCCATATTTTCTTTCTTGTTAGTTATCCCTACAAAACAACATTTAAGAGTAAATGCACCACCACTTATAAGTAATGGTTCATTTTCAACCAGATTACCTTGCACTCAGAATATATGTTACTAAAATGTTTTTGTTTTTCAGATTTAGTAAATCTGCGGAAAAAATTTGAAGAAGACAAAAGAAAGTTGGCACTGTTAAAAAAATCAAGAAGATTTAAGCCATTCTGAATGAAAGCTTTTCTATGTGTACTGTAATAGTGTTACATTCTGAAAATTTTATTATACAAATGTAAGACTATGCATTGCACATAAATTTTCAGCTAACACTTTGCCATCTTAATGTGTTTCTTATTAATATCACATGATAAAAATTTTAACAAAAGTCACCTGTAAAACATTAATAAAGCTAAAAACTGTTTATGTACCACATAAATGGGCCTAATTACTGTGAAAGCCCCAGTTCATGTTCATAGATTTAAGGTCTTCCCTTATTTATTGTCCAATTTCAATGATCACTCCTCCATTTAAAAATTTCCGTCAGCTTAGTGTTCATATCCAATGCTGCAAAAAGACGCCTCAATGGCAGTTTCACTGTAAAAGTGTGCTACATTTGTTCACAGTTGCCTTGTTACTTTTAACATCAGCGTTCCTTCCATACCATGTTTTCTGAAAAGCAGTATAGTGAAAATGTCTGCACATGTGCACTTATCTTGCTGCTTTATAGCATTCGATACTATGCACAAACATACACACAGATTCAAACAGTCTGATAGAATCTCATCACAGTATATGGTGCAGTACTTGGCTTCAGCATATGTAGTCAGTGCATTTAACACACCACCACATCCACTTTCATAAATTTCTGTGTGTATTTATTACAATTTGTAGGAGTCTATTTTCTGGCAGCATTTCCAGTTGACTGAAAAGTTCTTCTAGAATAAACAATAAACAAAAAGTAAAAAACTAAGATGAATTAAGCACAATTTGAATTCAAGACCTTGTGTTACTGTTAGTACAATATCTTTTACACTCCTCAAACTTCTTGAAAAAACCGAATATTAAGATTTACAGGCAATTTTGCCAGTGGACTTGGTCTTTCATTCTAAAGGAGAAGAAGAGAGATGAAGTAGAAAACCGGAGAATATTAAAGAAAAGAGCTTCATAATATATATTCTTCACTTAATATTATTAGGTCAATTAGAACAAGAAGGATGAGATGGGCAGGATATGTGGATGGGGGTAATATATTCCTCCAAAATTCATAGGAAAGCAATCATCCAGAAGACTTAAGCGCACACAGGAGAAAGGTGTAGCTGGAAAAAATGCTCTGCTTTTATAGAACCTGAAGGTTAAAGATCATATTCACAAATACACACCACCAGACCCTGTCCTGCACTAGATGAATTCAGTCTACATCCTCATATTCCGTTTCTTTAACATTCAATCTTGCACTGTTCCACCTATGCATAGATCACTGAAATTATCTTGTCCCTTGAGATTTTTCAGTCAACATTTTTAAGCATTCTTGTTATAATGCATGCTATGTACCATGTCCATCTCATCCCCCTTGATCTAATCACCCTGTTATTAAAGTGAAGATTAAGGACAATGAAGTTCTTCACCGTGTACATTTCTTCATCTCTGTAATGTACAGCATACTTTAAATGTAACAGACAAATGCCCAAGAATACTTACGTATGTTTCCATACACAGAGTGGGTGACTAGGGCCACTTGTATGACCTGTGCAAGCCTGTCAAGAGCCATGTGCAATGCAAGTTCACCCCTAATTCGTGCTGATTCATTCTCCATTCTTGTACGATCCTTCAGCCATCTGACGATAGGCTCTATGATTGCAGCAATATGCTGGGCAGATATGTTTTCAGTGGCAGATGCATCTGCACAATGGAGTCCAGGAGAAGGTGCATAACACTCCAACAAACTCTCCAACAATGCCAAGTGAAGGCGAGAATACAAAGGAGATTCTGAAGAGTTACAGTCAGAGGTAGGAATGTCACTGGTGCTTGTCTGACTCACATAATGCAGTGGGGCAAGGATACACCACCTGTTTGACAAATCATAACTTCAAAAAAAAGAAGTGAAAAGCAGAAAATTATGTACATTCCCTGCCATGTATTTAGGTGCAGCTGAATTCCTGTCAGTCATTTTACCTACAGTTTCTCAAAATAAAATAAAGAACTTGGTAGAAAGACATTTCTTATACAGGGTGATTCATATAGAACTGGCCCGACAAAATGAGCTGTAATATAAAATATACCATACAGATATTAAAGTAATTTACACATATCTTATCTTGGATTGTGTGCCGTGATCAGAGCAGGTGTTGAAAGTGTCCGCCGTTTTCAAGTAGGCACGCCTCCACCCGCATTTGCATATTTGCTGTGACTCACTGCAGTGTTTCTTCCGTGATGTTCCTGATTTCAGCCGAAATGTTGTCCTTTAAATCCCGTAACGTACACGGTTTGTTTGCATACACTCTGTCCATCAGTAAACCCCAGAGAAAGAATCCGGGCTGGTAAGGGCAGGGGATTTTGGGGGCCACATCTTTTTAGAGATGACGCGATCAGGGAAGAAGCTCTCAATCAGTTCCATGGACATGTTGGGTGTGTGGCACATCGCTGAATCCTGCTGAAAATAACCCTGAAGTTCCACATCATCCAGCTGCTGCACGAAATCATAAAAAATACAGCAGTATAAGGTGCTGTCCACGGTCGTGTTGAAGAAGATCGGTCCAATGATTCGTAAACCAGAAATGGCACACCACACACCCACTTTTTGTGGGTATAGTGGTGATTCAGCAATCTCATGTGGGTTTTCATAAGCCCAGATCCTGGAATTTTGTGCGTTTACATATCCTGATAGGTGGAACCATGCTTCATCACTAAACCAAGTGATTTCCAAAATTCTGGGGTTATCATGCACAAATTCCCAAAACCATAAACAGTACTGTACCCGTTTATCTTTATCAACATCACCCAATTCCTGAACACTGGTGATCTTGTAGGGATGAAGATTCACTTTCTTTGCAGCCCGTTGACACACTGAATAAGAATACCCGGTTTCCTGGCTTAGATGTCGTAATGATTTCTTGGGAGACTGCAGTAACCTGTCCCGCACAATTGCAATCGTTTCTTCTGGCATTTCTGGGCGGTTTTTACCATGTTCACTTAAAAGTGTCCCTGTCCTTCCCAATTTCTGAGCCAAGGACTGTATAGTCGATTTCGCTGGCTTCTTGCGAACTCCAAACTTCCTCCTGAATTCCAATTGTGTGTTCGCAATCAAGCCTGTCACCCAGTACGTGCGCATGAGAAACACTCGTTGTTCAACAGTGTACCCCATGACTGTCGCCTGCACACTGCAGACACGTTTTGGGATTGTCCTTGACCTTGCAGCATAAGAGTTGCCACTTGCCAAATCATGCGCACACCATTTGACTCAGCATGGCCCACGGATTATTATGTCATAATTGTGAGCGGTTATATGCATCACCTGCGGAATTATTAGCAAATTCATTGGGCCGGTTCTATACGATTCAACCTGTACTTCTCATATATGACTAATACTGACTATATTACCTTGGAAACAAAATCAGTGTTGCTTGGTAGACCATCACTGGCTTCTGAGTACCAAATAACAATGAAATCCACCTGTCCCCTAAAGATGGTTTCTGAAAAACTGACATTTTGCATTTGGGCCCCTAGTGTGCATACTGTTAATATCCTGAGTGGGCTTCATGAATTACTGACTATTAATCAAAATTTTGTGGACTTTTTTCACGAAAAGCATTTTGTTTTTGGATCCTACACAAAGAGTCCCTACTTTTGGAACAAGAATGTTCATATTCACTGGGCACTGATTTATAACAAATAAGGTTTTAAACACCAAATATAAATAAAATCTGTTAAATTGTTCAGGCGTTAGGAATATGCACATACAGACATGCATCCATATGGCACTCCAAGAACCACTTTCCCATATTCAGTAGGGTGAAAAACATGTAAATCCATCAAAATCACAGGGCTGATTCCATCAATATAACAATACCTTCCCATATTTACTATGTATCTGTATTCAGAGGTCCTGAAAATATGTAAATCTTCCAAAATCTTGTAGGATTCGAGGTTCTCACAGTGACGGTTATGAAAAGTTCTTTTCTCTGGGACATAACACCATGTAGTACATTGGAAGTTGACACATAATGGACTACACTGCATTATATCCTAGATCTCTTCATTCCACAATTTTGTATCAGTTCTTTTCACTATAATACTTTCTCATATTATGCATATGAAAAAGTAAAATGGTCCATTATATGCCATCCAGAAGCAAAAGATAGAATTACATACTCCTTGAAGTATGCAAGACAAGAATTGCATAATATTTGTTACAAAATGCAATGAGGCTGAAGTGAGTTAACACTTCGCGGACCGGTGATTTAAATATTTAAATCACCCTGGGGACCGGCGTTTTTAAACCTACTACCCTAACTTGTGCACTGTTCACTTTAAAAATTAATATAAAATCTCCTAATTAATTTTATGAACTAAAATTTTTGGAGAAGACTTACCAGAGCTCCTAGAAGTGCTTCAGAGTGTGATATTTCTGGAAACATTCCCCTCTGTGAAGAGGCATGATGCAGAACTTGCAGACGTAGGAAGTCTTGCTTCGTTTCTTGTGCACAGCGCACACACGGCACTGCCTAGGATACTTCCCCGTCGATTGTTCACTCATCACAATTTTCACGAGGGTATGTTTCCGCATATCACCTGAGAGTCGCCCAGGGGGGTCCATATGAGGCCTCCGTGGGGTGGGAGTAGATGGTTCAGGTCGTACTATGTCTGTGTCTGAGGCAGGTTCTGCCGCCACCATGAGGTCTGTAGCCCAGGCTTTTGCCACATTCATGAGAAATGCCTTGTATTTCAAAGTTGAATTTTCATTTAGCTCTTTGAAAACCAAAAATGAATTGAAAAGGGCACAATTTATAAGCCACAAGGCAACTTTCTTCGTCCATTTTACTGTTTTCCTAGGAAGGGAATAATAGGCCAAGTATTAGATGGCTCTATCAACTCCCTTCATTAACATATTGTACTGAGAAATACAAAGAGGCTTCTTCTTCACTTGCCCGTGTCGTCTTTGAACATTGACCATGCTCGAATTGTGAATAGTGGAAATCATATTCACAACATGAGTATCCCTCCAGGACTGAAGAAGAATGTCCCCCTTCCTCCTGAATGTGGTGTCACCACATTTCAGGGATTTACATTCCTCTTTCAGATCTGGAGGAAGGCCTCTGTTCACCCTAATTGTACCACAAATACGTACTTTCCTTGAAAGTAGGTATTCTGCAGTTGCCACACTGTTATAGAAATTATCTTGATAAACGTGATAATTTTGATCCAGATAGGGATCCAAATGGAAACAATAGTTTCTTGCAATTTCTTGCCTTCACCGGAATAAATTTCTAAATTTCCAATATAGCCTGAAGTGTTTTCCGTGACTACACGAACAAGTAGGCCATACTTTGTGAGTTTCCCAGGATTATACGTTCGAAAATGAAGCCTTCCCCTCCAAGGAATCTGAAAAACAGTTCAGACACTTGTGTAGGGTCTGATGGCATTTGTCTCACCCCTGGATCACCAGTAAACTTTCCCAAAGTGGGTGTTTTGTCCACTTTACCCCACGTGGCTGTCCCCGCAATGCTAGCACTCGCACTTTCATCGGAGCTCTCACTGTCATTTTCACTTTCTCTTCTGGTCACAATATTTTGGGGGCCCCTGTCACTGCCACTGACACTGCCCTCGCTATCAGAAGACGAAGCAGTTGGCAAGTCAGATAACTCATCGGAGAGCAAATCACAGATTTCTTCTTCTCCAAGAGCTCGCACGGCCTTCAACTGCTTTCGTCTCTGAGCCATGTTGACACAAAATATCCTGCCTCACACATAGAAGCTTCGACTTGAACAAAGGGACTCTTCTTTAGAGTGAGAGGGAAATAGAGAGTGGTCATGTTGCTGACTCGGAAAACAAGCATTCTGAAGGTCAGCTACGCAGTACTTTTACAGACACATGGCCACCAATGCGTGGAATAGTGTGTTGCAATATAACGTGTCCTAAAAGGCTAAATCTAGGCAACCAGTCTGCCATGTTTAAAACCCAAATGCCTAGGCCTAGGCCTCCGGTCCACGAAGTGTTAATAACAGAAATCTCCAGGCCAAGCCTGAGGACAGAACATAAATCTGATCTTTTCAGCTGCCTCTTGCTCCCTTTATCCTCACCCAGCCCCTTCCCTAGGAATAAAAAAATTTACACCTTGCCAATCCAACTTCACTCAGTATGAATACAGCTCTTTTCAGGTCCCACCTAAGGAGCCATTTCCTTTGCTCCCATTGGCTCTGAGTTTTCTTACAGACAATGCTCACTCTTCCAATGATTCTTTCACACTTCTTTCAAGCTTGGACTGGTCCATATCTGGAAGGATTTTCAATAGGCAATTTACACAGCTTGCCACCTGCTTCTGCTGGTTTCCTTGTTGGCTTTTTTTTTTTTTTTTTTTTAAATTCGCTTAGTGGGGGGGTGGAGTCCAACTGGGTCCACTTGGCACAGCGGCCACTGATTGGCCTCTTGTAGCCTGCCCCAGGAGATTATGATGAAGGAGAATTTGATGGAATGAAGATTGGCATGGGAAACCGAAGTACTCAGAGAAAACCCGCCCCAGCACCACTTTGTCCACCACAAATCCCACTTGACCAGACCCAGGATCGAACCTGGGCCGCCGCGGTGGGAAGCCAGCGACTAACCGCTTGAGCTATGGTGTGGCCTAGTTCCTGGTTGGCTTACTCTTCAATCCTGATGATGGAAGCAATCTGTTCCTCTGAAACATTGGCCCACTCCAAACTACACAGTGTTACAACCCAGGAGACTTCTCTCTTCATTTTTTTAACATGTCACCTGGATAATGCCAAAGGATTCAATAGGTACATTCACACCAAAATATTTAATGCAGCCAACCATGTTATTTTCAAATCCCCTATGTAACAGCCCTAACAAAAGGTGCATATTTTTCCAAGATTTATTACCCCACAAAACTTACCTTACATGTTTACAGAGCAGCTATGGTGACATGCCAGTTAGTAACTATTAAGATGTCGTAACCTAGAGTGACAATGTAATACCAAATTTAATGAGAAAGATATAACTCGCTTATAGTTATCAAAGGGGGTCAGAGATTCACAGACATGATTATACCACAAACCTGTCTTTCCCTCTAAAATACAGAAGCAGACTAAAAGCAAAAAACCAGGCAGTTAAATGCCAGTCTCCCACCATGGGAGCCCTGGTTTGATCCAGGTCAGGTCAGGTGGAATTTGTGGTGGATGAAGTGACACTGGGGGAAGGCTTTCTCTGAGTACTTTGGTTCCCCTCCCAATTCTCATTCCACTGACCGCTCCATGCTCATTTATCATCTTAGCGCAGGAGCGCACGCGCGCGCGCGCACACACACACACACACACACACACATGCACAATTGTAGGTGGCGGCAGCAGCAGCAACAACAGCACATAGGTAGAAAATACTATTACTCCTACCTGGCAGCAAAAGCAGTTATGACTTCAAGGATTGTACCAAATGCGATACTGATATAACTCACTTGAACAAACCAGCAAATGGTGTTATGGCAGCCATTGGGACTCCCCCGAGTGGCAGAGCTAACTGAAGGTTTACCATCAGGGCTGCAAGACACAAGGTGGGGTTGTCTGACACCCACTGTGTGATCACTTCCAGCAATGTGTCAGGTGGGGGGCTGAAGATGTGCCTCTTCTCTGCATCAGAAATAAGTAATTATGTTCACTTACCTTCAACAAGGCTCATCTTATTCGCATATAGAACAGAAACTTGACTGGAATAAAGGAGATGAAAACAGATTACAAGCAATGAAGATGAAACACTGGTACCAACGTACCAGTTTATATGTCATCCCAGACAACCAATGTGAAAACCTCAAATCAAAAAGTAGGGATGAAGCTTCTAACAAGCATTAAAAAATAACAAAGGGGCAAAATCTCAAATGAAGGCATTATACAAAACCTAAAGATAGAAACATTAACAAGAAAACTTGGTAAAATAGGATACAGTGGAATAGATACGTGTATTACATATGGGAGAAAATGTGATTTCTATAAATGTATCAAGAATTATGATTTTAAATAAACAATAACTGCAAAGTCAAAGACAATATAGAGATGAGATCTCAGGCAGAATATGCAGAAAAGAGTGCACAGAGATCTAAGACGAGTATTTAGAGGAAGACATATTAGAATGGAGTACGCATTGTCTTCCCTGGAGAAAATTCCAATGGATGATATTGGCATGGAATCTATGCTTTATTTACAAACTTCATGGATGGCAAACCTGCTGGCTTCAGCGCAGAGTAGCAAACAATGACTTGGGTTCAACACTGATTCAATTCAATGCTGAGAAGTCCCCATCTGACAAATTTAAAATTTGTGAATACACTCTACCAGTCGTCATCTTTATCGCTCACAAGAAAACGAAACACTGACTTCTGGGAGCTTCAAAATCATAAATCAATGCCTTCACCTTTACCAGGTGTGCAGAGGTCAAGAAAACCATTAGATATTAAGAAATAGACATAACATTTCAGGATTGCCTAGTTCTAACTACATGACAGGACAGTGCTTCCACATAAACAGCTACTCTCCTTTCAGAAGCACTGAATTCACAGCCCCACACTATCAACCACCATTTCCAAAACCTTTATAAGAAACTTCAAGAAACTTGAAAATGAAATAAAAAAAATTTACAATATAAACACATCCATGAAAGAAAACTGGTACACTTCACTTGTTACTCATATTGGTCTCCTGAACACTACAGAACTTTGCGGATATGGAAATAAAAGCAAACTTACCAACAACACCATACATCTCAGCTACAGCTGTCAGGAAATTTGCTGTGAATTGTGGTGCAAGCTGTGGTAAATCTTGGAGGCCACTCACAGCCTTTGGAATAAGTACAAAGTAATCTTTCACAAGTCCTTGCGCCAAATCGAGACTGTATTTGGAAGTGCAGCCTAGTTTCTGGAAGAAATAACAGGAGAAGCAAGAAACAGATCAAACCTTTAACACCAACCTAAACTTCACAAGGTGCAATCTCTGGAGCCCAGGCCATGGCATACAAGAACCGTATTTCATATATAGAAAAAGTCATTACTAAAAATCAGATTTAAGATTCAAATTTTGTTCACTGTTAGACATGCTGACAGTCACATACAGTCAATGCAGTTACACTGTCTAACCAACCTGCATCCACATTCCTGTGGCAGTGAGGACTGGCACATTTTTGGTAGAGCTGGCCATGGAGACAAGTTTAATGAGCAGTCGAGAGCGATCACTATGCGTTGGAGGGAACAGAGACATGAACACCATATTTCTTACTGCTTCACCACCGATTACACTGGATGTGAAGAAATCACACAGCACCTCAAGCAGCTGCAGCTCCTGAATACAGTTTAGTCTCTGAAACAGAAATTAATTAAGTGAAGACATAACAGGGATGCTGAGTCTGATCATCTGCACATTCACTTTCCTAAACCTCTTCACTAATTCTGATGAAATCTGAAATGGGAGGTCTGCGTTAAAAAGTGTCTTGCAAGTTTTGCTTTTGGCCCAGTTTGGTCAGTATAACCTCTACTAACCATTTCCATAATTCTTAATAATGGTTAATCTTACAAATAAGTAATACATAATATAAAACATATCTCGTTAAGATCTACAACTATTATTTTAAACACATGTCACATATGTAACGAACTATATCTACTGTTTATTTGCATGTAGACAACAGACCTAAATGAACCTAAAGACTCTACGGACAAGGGCTAAATCTATAAACGCCTTTCTTCTCTTGTTATTCCTCATATTTAATATGGGATAAACTGGTGCTTATGTTTTAAAGCAGGTGACACATGTCTGTAGTTGAGATAATGAAGTTAAAAAGAAATGTATTTTCCCCACATAGACACACACTATCATACTTCTCTGAAAAATCTTAATTTTCTGCAAAGTAAGGTTAGATCATGAAGAATGCCATCTTCTGGGATGTGGCACCATATAGTTCTTCTGTGAACTGATGTTCCTCTGAAACATCGGTTCACACAAGATCTACGCGGTGCCATATCCCAGAAGACAGCATTCTTCATAGTCACCACCGTGAAAACCTCAAATCTTACAAGGTCAGATCAGTTCAATACGTTTGGTTTACGTTAACTCCATGGAAGTATAAAACATAAATTTTCAGCGACATAACTTGATATACATGCGTGCTAAAGAGGCTAAACCACTTACCCTCTTTCTACTACCCCTTCTGTCTACTTCACAAAAAACAAACTCTGAGATGATTTCCATTGAAATGTCCACATGTTTAGCTCCAGAGGTACGACCAATATTCTGGGTTGTACACATCTCTTCTGTAAAATAACCCAGCCATTATTAAAACAATATTAAAATCTTGATTCAATGACTAAGAGTGCAGAATTCAACATCTGTAAACGGGTGCAGCACAGTCTTGATCTCGCACAAATTAAACTACTAAATATCATCAGATGGTTACAAAAAGCATTAATGTGAATTAATTTAGGTAGCAGTAATTACACATCATTATCATGCTTTCAGTTTCAGAAATGCCACAAAACTGAGCCTACTTAACTACATAGCACATTACATCACACTGGTCAGACTACAGGCTAAATCCATTACTTAGAACAGTTAAAATGCTTTCGAATAAAGTCAGGTTAGAGTTCGATGGGTTACGTCCTCAAATATACACGGGATTCGAAGTGAACGTTGCTATGCAGTTTTCTATAACAAACAGCTGCGGCTGTCACTTAGGTTTCTTAATTGCTCGCTGAAATCAGATGATTAGGAAGAGTGGTAGGGCATTTCATGCAGGCTGACTTATCTCTATCCTGGATATCTTGCATTCCTAGCCGGCCCCCCGGGTCTTAGTATACTAAGAACTTAACATCTAAACATGACAAGGCGCCTTGTCTATATCCTAGAACTGTCGTAACCCTCGCCAGCCACCAGGGCCTTAATATACCAAGAACTTAGCCTACCAACACGACCAAGAGCTATCCGGGCACAAAAGGGAAACTCAGTTTCCTTAAGAATATGTTTCAATTCAGAATTTGATATTGACATTCTGATTTTTTTAATACTAGCCGCACAGTCAAACTCCACATTTTATACAGCATTCAATAATTTCTTCACGACCTCATGTCCTCATGGATACCAACGTTACCACTCTATGGACATATGTCGAGCACACTCTATCGATTACGATATTCGAGATGCTCGATAACACCACGGTTCCTTGTAACCAAAGGTAATTGAAAGGTAAATGTCCCTGTGCTTAACCATTTACGAACTACGCCTTGAAGGCGTTTGAGGGCGTGAATGTACAGATCATTTTCTTGACCTCGGCACTAGCTGGAGTTGAGTGGTCAGCTTCACAACCCGGCCTCTTTACCCACGGGACCCAATGGATTGGTTGGGTGGACCCCATAGCCGGCCTGGACAACGTTGAGAAAATTCCTGACCCTTCCGGGACTCGGAAGCCCAACCCCTGTCGCCCAGCCAGTAGCCAGTCCCTATACTGACTAGACCATATCATCATTTCTTAAAATGATTAATGTAAAATATACTGGTGGAAAAATAATAAAATAAGATGCTTGTGTATTATATTTATTACTGGAATTATTATTGAAAATGTATTTTCTGGGAAACAGGATGGGGTGGAATGGACCCAATTCATGTGGTTCACGATAGGGATGTGTGGCAGGCTCTTGTTAATTGGGTAATGAACCTCCGGGTTCCGAAAAATATGGGGAATTCTTGGGTAGCTAGGCAACTTTTGGCTTCCAAAGGACTCATTTTATCTACAGCTGGTGGACAATGAGGAACTATGATTATAGCATTCTTAATGCATTTGGATGTCACCTTCATTAATGGTGGTGGTATATTTTAAATGGAACAACGATTCAGGCCGTGATGGTGGAGAACATAAAAGTACACTAATGAATGTATAAGGGGTGGGCCTTCTCGGCCCTTGCACTGCGACCTACTTAATAGTACACTAAGATGTTATCATGTGTGATCCTGGGGCTCTGGTGTAATTTATTCATGTTAACCCCTTCTTGGATATGTTATCACAATAAATGCTATTAGATTTTTTACCCAGATTCAGGAACTTGCAACTTATGAGGTCTGTGTAAGCAGGTGAAATACACATTATGATACAAACAGAAATAACAATAAGCATAATGTCTGAAGATAATAGAATATAAAGTTAGTGACAGTAGAGCATGAAATATTATTTAATTTGCAGAGGCAGTCTTGAAGGTGCAACTTCTTGTCATACACATACACTGTTAATGTGCTACATTGTCACTTTTATAAATGTTGCTTCTACAACATGTTTCAAACTTATATGGTCATAATCAGGTAGATACAGGAAAAAATCTGCAAAAAGCACACATCACTCAGTTGCAATGGACAAAGCAAGTGGTTTCTCACATGGCAATGTCCATACAAGTCATGAACATTATTCTTTACTTTGGTATCTATACAAAAGTTTTAAATTCCGAACTTAAGCAATACATCAATACCTCATACACAAATAAGGAACTCTGTGAAGCAGAGCCTATCTTGATGAAACTGTCTGCCTCTTATAGAAGCCAGACATTTTTCTAAACTGAATCAGTCGGCCTTAATTCACCAATGAGATGGCATTTCTTTACAATCCATTTCCGTATTACTCTCCCATTATATTTCATTCATTTTTAGGATGCCAGTCCATTCTGGTGAGTGATGATGTTACCAGGACAATTATTATTTCTTTCCCCTTAGGTTGCATAAAATAATTTTAATAAAACAAGTTCACTTGACAGCAATACATTATACTGTCACTAGATACCAAACTGACATGTCATATGGGAACAGCAGATGAAACCATCACTAACTGCTCATAAATTTGATATTTTAAACACAGCAGTACCATGGAATGACACTACTGTGATAAAGCATCTTAGGAAAACATTGCTTAGAAGGATTTCAGACTCTCATGGCAGTGATGGTCAACTCTCAATGGACCACACAACATTATATTTCAGAAGATAAAACTCATTAACTGACTTAACCTCAGAGTTCCATATTTTTAGTGTTTATAATTTTGATGAAAGGATGAAAGCAGAATTTAGTATAAATTCATAAATATGGTGACAATGATTATGCAGAATCTCATGTTACACTGATAGCTAAATTACTGATTCCAGAATTTAATGAAATATAGATTCTGGCATTCTCCTGTATGTGTACAATTCAAGCATTCATGACATGAACAAAGGCTGCATTCATTCTTATGTATCAGTAGCATAAATATCATTCCAACTTCCCAATTTCATGTGACCACTGTATTGGTATTATTGATGATGAAAAATATGGCAACCCTATTCACAAGCATGAAGTCATTAGTGCAGAGGGGGAATATGTAAACCAGCATAAATTCTTAATCTAATCTTCATGAAGACAATTTCATCCCCTCACCATATTTACCCATGGCCACTGTGTGCATGTGTATGCATGCATCTGTACACACTGGTTTGGAGGCTGTGTAAGCCTAATCACCCAAAAACGCAAATACCATTACATTGAATCAAACCACACCTGTCCATTACTGACTGAATTGAAGCACATTACTTTTATTGCATTTTATATTTAACTCCCCCATACTGTGGAATTGCCCTATTTTAACAGCTCATGTTAAGAATGCACAAATAATGGGATAAACTAAAACCAGGTTGTGCAAATAAAATATGTCACAAATTTTAAGATTATCAACTATGTCGTTCAAATCTGAATATTCAGTTTTAAAGTACTATAAGTAAGTTTATCAGTATCCATTACTGAGCCATGGGTGTTTGGAAAGTCCATGACATTTGTTACTTAGCTTCCACATAAGAATATGCTCGTTGATACTTAAAGGATCAATAAAAAATTGAGATAACAACAGCAGCACTTTAGATATTTATTTCATGTCATATAGACCTTGGTTCTTTTTGAGCAATTTCTGAGAGAGTCTATCCAATTACAAAACTATACTTGCTTTTCTAGACACTTCTAGTGGCAGTAATATCAAATACATATTTTTTATTTGAAATTGGTTGAATAGTGAAAGTGGATAAAAGTGAAACGTTTGTAGTTAATTTTAAAATGAAGTCTGAATTGTTGCAGTACGTTCCCCAACACAATTTCAAATTAAAATTGAATCCTATGTGCACCGAAGATCATTAATATCTGACAGGCAACAGCATGTTTATGAAAAATTAAGCTCAATGACAGCCAACCACATGGGCAGTAAAATTCACTAATGTTGCAAAAGTGCTCAAAAACCATTCCAGTCCTTGGCCTATACTTTTACTCCCATTCCACCCTATTTCCTTCCTCTCAGCATGTTCCACACATGTTCTTCCAATTTTTTCTATCTTCCTGTAGGTCTTTCTTGTTCTCTTGGTCACCATACTTATTTTGGGCAACTTCTATTTTCCATCCATTCCTTTTACTGTCAGTGTCTCTGGTTTGTCTGATTCTTCCTCTAGACATTCTTCCTGTCTGTCTTGTCTAACAAATGTTTCATTTTCCAGACAATTTAAGCCACAGATTTTTCTGTCACTTTATCTGTCAATGAAGATCCAAAATGATTCTTACTATAGGATTCTGACGATAGTGTATAACACACTGATATATTGGGTTTTTGGACTTTATCCACCGTCCTGGTTTTTAAGATAACTAATAAAAACACGACGTTTCGGAAACTGGATCTGTTTCCGTCCTCAGGTGAAGGAAAACACCTATTCTGTTGGGTCCGTTAGAAAGAGCTAGCCTCAATCACTGGACTCGTCCTGAGGACAGAAACAGATCCAGTTTCCGAAACGTCATGTTTTATTAGTTATCTTAAAAACCAGGACGATGGATAAAGTCCAAAAACCCAATATATCAGTGTCAAAAGATTCTTACTAAACAATTTCTAATATTACCTCTCCAAGTTTTCTTCTCTTCTAAATGATAAGTATCACATCCCTATTGACTGTAATCAGTTCCGAGAGTTTCGATGTAATGGTATGATTCACAGATGCATAATATTGTACGAGACACAGCCAAACAGCACATAATAAATTATAAAATTTATTCACATGTAAAAAAGCATACATACTCTGTTCTTTAATTTAAAGATGTAAAGTTCAATGGTGAATATGTTCCTAGTTCTATGGTACCAGTCGCCTTAGCATATACATGTGTTTATTTATGCTTATCTGAAAAAAATAGCTATGCTGAACTGTCCATCTAAAATATTTCAGAAATCAACACTTCCACTCCTAGGAAAGTCAAGTTCTCTCTCAACTCCGCCTAAAGTTTCCTGAAGGCAGTGGATTCTGACTTTGACTTAAGAAAGCTAAATGTCCCTTTGGGCACTTATTGGCATAGTGTCCCTTACAACCACACTTAAAGCAAGTCACTTCTTCTAATGGCTTCTGAGGTGGTTTGACAGTATTTTCTTCTGGACTTGTTCCTTCTTTGGGAACATACATCAAGTTCTTTACCTGAAATCAAAAAATAAATATGGCTGTATTACCTGTCTCAGAGAAACATGCATCATGTGTGGATGAGATACAGTTACAACTCTTCAGCAGGCAAACTTGTAGGAAAGAGACCTCTTGGGAGACACAGGTGTGAATTAGAGGATAACATTAAAATTATCTTGGAGAAAATTGTGAAGGTGTAGACTACAATGAACTCACTCTGCATAGGATTGAATGGTGAGCTTTTGTGAATATGGCAATACACACTTGATCTCATATTCCTACAGTGATCACTATGAAGATTGGTGTCTTCTAGGATATGTTGCATAATCCAGTGAAAGTCAACCAACACTGACATCACCATGAAGCAGGCAGCAAGTAGCTCTGCTTGCCACTTTTGATATTAGTTGAGACAACCACGTAACTATAACAATAAATGTTCACTGCACTTAAAACTGGTATCACAGACAAGTGTGGAGGGTGTCTGAAGAATTCCGGTGGAGACTCCTCTCATAGTGGTTAGCCCGGTCTAGTGATGATGGTGCTGAGTGGGGGCTCTAAAAAGGGCCGTTTTGTCAGCTGAGTCGCAGCCCGGGGTTGCGAGCCGATCAGACTGTGGAGAGTCTGGTTGACGCTGTTATGGTGCGTGCGCTGGCAGTCAGATGTCTACTGGCACTGTTACGGTGCGTTATGGCAATGGGGATTCTCGATGTCAGCACAACTATGTCAGCTGTGACTGTTGAAAGAATGATGCTGGTGTGTCCGAGTACCGCAGCTTTATACCTATGCCACCACGCAGTGTGCGGACCAGTTGGCAATGAAGCTGCGATTATGAGCACTGATTGGATAGCGCTTGTGTTGGTGTTTAGGGAACCAGGCTGCAAGCGATGTATAAATATTGCTGCAATTGTGAGCACTGATTGGATAATGCTTGTGTTGGTGTACAGAGAGTCAGGCTGCAAGCGATGAGTAAATATTGCCTTTTTTCGGTGCACTGTGAGAGTTGTCTGTTGTGGATTGTGGGAGGTTCGCACACTACCTTTCATTGGACCTTATGCATGGTAATGTGTTCCATCAAAAGATGAGTAACTGTCAACTATTCATGAAATCACAAGAACATATGCTTCACTAGCATTTATAATTTTCATTTTGTGCATCTTGTTGTGTTATTATATACAATTCTTTATTAGAGTCCGTTGCAACACAACAATACAATGGTCAAGGCTAAAATTACCTTAGCTACATGGTTCGGCTATTAAAGCCATCATCAGGCAAACACATGATTACCATATACACACCATAGCTGCAATCTATATTCCTTACAGAATAGACAAAATACACTGTAAGATGAGGCACCGGCTACACGATTAATGTCAAAACTATACTACATCTATACCATGGGCCTCCAAGCAGTTTATTACATGTATACAAGTCTGCATATACTGTTATGTCTGTGGGAATATAACAAAATTGCAACAACTGACTTGATGATATAGAATATCACATGAAGAGTTTTTAACCTTATTTTACACAATAACTTTTGTTTTTGTAATAAGTTTATAGTTCATTGTATTTTATACTGTAATAATTATCAAGTATCCAGCTTCACCATCACAATTGCAGTTCAGTAGTATATGTATATGAACAATATAAAAGAATGCATGTTAGATACTATCAGTGATTTGGTTGGTAAAGTTGAGAAGATAGCAAGAAAACCATGGGTTACACAGGAGATGATGAGTAAAATGGAGGAGTGAGGGAAATGGAAGAATGTCAACAATGAAGAAGGCAGGAGGAAATACAGGAGACTGAGGAATGAATTGAAAAGAGCCACGGACAGGGCCAAAAAGGAATATCTTGAGAAGATATGTAATGAGATTATGGAATTTCAAAGAACAGGCCGTTATGATTTGATGTACATGAAGACAAAAGAACTAGGATGGAAAGAGAATCATGGGATTCAAAATGTTGGCATCGAAGACTCCCAGGGGAATAGAATAGTAGATCAGAGGCAAGTGCTGAAAATTTGGGAAAATTATATTTCAGAACTATATGATCGACCTAATCGGCCAGAAACCTTAGAAGTTGAACCGGAAGAAGAAGTAGATACAGACGAGAAAGGACCATATATTTTACAAAGTGAGGTGGAAAAAGCTATCAAGGAAATGAGGAAGGGAAAGGCTACAGGAGATGATGATGTACCTGGAGATGTGCTCAAGTTACTGGGAGAAGGTGGTTTGAAAACACTGACAAAACTAATGAACACCATATATGAAAGTGGAGAGTGGCCCAAGGACTTTACAGAAGTTACAATGATTGCCTTAAAGAAAAAGACAAAAGCTACAAAATGCAGCGACCATCGCACAATAAGTCTTATTGCACATACAGCAAAGATAATAGCAAAGATACTTAAAAGAAGAATTGAAAGGAAAATAGAGGATGTACTTGGAGAAGATCAGTTTGGATTTAGAAGAGGAAAAGGAACCAGGGATGCAATTGGGATGATGAGAATTATAGCGGAACGAACTTTGGAGATAGATGAAGAACTGTGTGTTTGCTTCATAGACTGGCAGAAGGCATTTGACCGGGTAAACTGGACCAAATTAATGCAGATCCTGAAAGAAACAGGTATCGATTGGCATGAAAGAAGATTGATTAGCAAATTGTACATGGATCAGAAAGTTAGAGTACGACTGGACAGGGGGGAGACAGGAAGTGTGCAGATTGGAAGAGGAGTTCGACAAGGATGCTGTTTATCACCAATTCTGTTCAACTTGTACAGCGAATGCCTTACCAAGGAAGCTCTGGATGGGCTCGGTGACTTCAAAGTAGGAGGGCAAATTATTCAAACTGTGAAATATGCAGATGACCTTGTGTTAATGGCTAAGGAAGAAACTGTGCTACAGGGCATGATTGATAGACTAATTGAAATTGGAAGGTGCTATGGCATGGAAATGAATGTGGAGAAAACAAAAGTAATGAAAATTTCGAGACAACCAACCCCAGTCACAATAAAGATAGACCAAAAACAACTGGAGAATGTGAAATGTTTTAAATATTTGGGTAGCTTGTTAACAGATGATGGAAGGTGTACTAGTGAAATTAAATCCAGGATTGCCATGGCAAAAGCTGCATTTAGCAAGAAGAAGAATCTTTTTACCAGCAAATTGGACTTAAATTTGAGGAAGAAACTAGTGAAATGCTACATTTGGAGCATAGCTCTGTATGGGGCTGAAACATGGACACTTAGGGCAGTAGATCAGAAACATCTGGAAAGTTTTGAAATGTGGTGTTGGAGAAGGATGGAGAAGATCAGTTGGACCGATTATGTGAGAGAAGAAGTGTTAATTAGAGTCAGTGAGCAGAGGAATATCCTACACAAAATAAGAAAACGGAAGGCTAATTGGATTGGTCATGTTTTACGCAGAAACTGCCTTCTAAAAGAAGTTATCGAAGGAAAGATAGATGGGCGGATAGAAGTGACAAGAAGACGAGGAAGAAAACATAAGAAGATGCTGGATGACCTTGGGGAGAGAAGAGGATACTGTCATTTGAAGGAGAAAGCTCTAGATCGCATTAAGTGGAGGAATTGTTTTGGAAGAGACTGTGGACCTGTCGCCTTGACAGATTACTGATGATGATGAGTATGCGTATATGGTAATCATGTGTTTGCCTGATGATGGCTTTAATAGCCGAAACATGTAGCTAAGCTAATTTTAGCCTTGACCATTGTATGGTTGTGTTATGACGGACTCTAATAAAGAAATGAACATATGCGTCTTTGCAATGAACACTCTGTTGTTTAGTGCTTGCACGTGTACTGCTTACGGCACAAACAAGTTTTGCCAAAATGGTCCTAAACCTTTAATACATGTTATTAACACTACTGACAATGGGTTCTCCATTAATATAATCGTCCTGTTCGGCTTCTGATGACTGATACTGTATCCAATTGCTGGATTAAGCCAATATCTGTTACATTATAATATTTTCACTGTTAGAAATAACATACTACATTTAACCATGTATTTAATTCCTCACATTATATGAATGAGATGTGTTATGTCTTCTTGATACAGATTAATTTAATGGTTCAGATGACCAGTGAAATAAGTATTTCTGTAAACCATAAATGCAAACTAATAACAGAAATTGTTAATATGAAATATATTAACAAAAGATTAAAGGTTAAAAAAGGCAATTTTCAGTAAGATCAGCATTCCAGTCAAATTTCAGATGACCAAAATATATGTCACAACAACAAAAAACTGTGGGAAATTTCTGTTCCAGTGTATTTCTAATGCTCAGGGTTACTTTCACATGGATGAGTCTAGATATTTTTCTCAACCTATTCTTTTAATACCCAAGAAGAGACTGGCAGAAACCAAAATATGTAAACAAACTGCGAAAAAGTACTGATACAAATATACGGACGTAAGTAACAGGAAACAACAGTAGGAAGAAGAAAATTACATAATGAGGAGCCACATCATTTGCATTTTGCATAATATTGTTAGGATGATACATCACAGAGGATAGATTATGGGGTATCTAGAACATAAAGGAAAGGGGAAATGGTTACAGAATTTTAGTGAGAAGCCTCATGGTAAAACATCACAAGGGAGACTTGAGTGAATATGGAAGAACATGGATCAGAAGCAGGTTTACACAAATTTCTTACAATCTTGGAGTCAACAACCAGGCTGTGAGATATGCTCGATTTTATTAACAAAAAAACAAGTGGAATATCTATATGTAAATAACAGCCACTTTCTTTCATGCACTGTGGAAACACAACACACTGTTAGGACATTGGGAAAATGTTAACCTGCTGCCAGGATACAAAGAAGGTATTTACTTAAGTCTGTTATTTAAGGTTTCAGTTTGCATTGAGACTATATGGAGTCAGATTATTAAATAATGTGACACAGTTGGGTGAAATCAGAAATGGCAGGAGAAAACAAAAATACCTGGAGAAGCCCTGCTCCAGTCCCACTTTGTCCACAGTAAATTCCACATGACCTGACCTGGACCTGAACGTGGGCTACCACTGTGGGAAGCCAGTGACTAACTGCCTGAGCTATGGCATGGCACTGACAAGTAAAAAGGATGAGAAAGCAATAGGAGAGAGAGGAGGGACAGACTGATATGTTGGGTTTTGGACTTTATCCATCCTCCTGGTTTTTAAGATAACAAATAAAAACACAACGTTTCGGAAACTGGATCTGTTTCCGTCCTCAGGTGAAGGAAAACACCCATTCAGTTGGGTCCGTTAGAAAGAGCTAGCCTCAATCACTGGACAAACTGATGTCACAAAACATGAAGATTATAAAAACCTGAGACCAGGCTAAGTCCATGAGAACTAATAAGAAAAATATTCATAACAAATTGTAGCA